TTAACATTTTTTAAAAGTTACATTAAGATCTCTAACAAAATACATTATAACAATTTTACCTTTTGTCAAAATTCAATTAATAAAAAAGAAATGATTGTTCTGTTCTCTTCTACAAAGCCTGTTAAAAAACACCAACTCAAACAAAGTTGATCTTGTTGGATTACAGAAATAATATGAAGTTTTATGCTAAGCTCATTTTCAGCTCTGGAAAAAAAAAAAAAAAAATGAAGGGACTTCCCTGGTGGCGCAGTGGTTAAGAATCGGCCTGCCAATGCAGGGGATATGGGTTCGAGCCCTGGTCCGGGAAGATCCCACATGCTGCGGAGTAACTAAGCCCGTGTGCCACAATTACTGAGCCTGTGCTCTAGAGCCTGCGAGCCACAACTGAGCCTGTGTGCCACAACTACTGAAGCCTGCGCACCTGGAGCCTGTGCTCCACAACGACAAGCCACCGCAATGAGAAGCCCACGCACCGCAACGAAGAGTACCCCCGCTCACCACAACTAGAGAAAGCCCAAGCACAGCAACAACGACCCAACACAGCCATAAATAAATAAATAAAAAATTAATTTATAAAAAAAAAAAAGAAAAAAAATTACCCAAACAAATATTCACCAAATTTCAAATCTGACTTTTTGACAAATGTTTGTGAAAAGATGATACTGAGGTATTGGAAGACAAGCCCCAGTTTTTAACTAATACTTATATTCCAAATACTTTGAGTATTTTAAGCCTGCATAAGGCTAGACAAATTTTATTTGAGTTTAACTCTTCTAATATTTAGAAGAAAAATAATTAAAAATTAGTTAGGGGCTTCCCTGGTGGCGCAGTGGTTGAGAGTCCGCCTGCTGATGCAGGGGACACGGGTTCGTGCCCTGGTCCGGGAGGATCCCACATGCTGCGGAGCGGCTGGGCCCGTGAGCCATGGCCGCTGAGTCTGTGCGTCTGGGGCCTGTGCTCCACAACGGGAGAGGCCACAACAGTGAGAGGCCCGCGTACCGCAAAAAAAAAAAAAAAAAATAGTAGTTCAGTCCTCTTAATATATTTTTTGTTCTCTGGCAATCAAGGAGTGGCAGTAAAGGAATATCCTTTTTATGGTGCTTGGAAGGTAAAGATCTGTCCATAGGAAAGCAGTTTATAGACACACACACACGAACAGGTACTCAGACATGTCATATACATTCTTCTAGTCTTTCCAAATCTCAGAGAAAACTTATCAGGATTCTTATATTTTGCTAAGAGAAAAGACCTATTAAAAAGATCTGAGGGGAATATATGAAGAATAAATAGTTCTTTCCTTAGTAGAAGAGAAGTTAAGAATGAATGAATGGATACTTCAAAAATATTTGTTGAGGGAGTTCCCTGGTGGTCTAGTAGTTAGGATTCGGCACTTTCACTGCTGTGGCCCAGGTTCAATCCCTGGTCAGGGAACTGAGATCCTGCAAGCCACATGGCATGGCCAAAAAAAAAAAATTGTTGAAAATTAATACCTAGAATATTCATGATACTGCTAGGCCCATCACAAAAGATGGGGGTAGAATCTTAACTTCCCCTGAACTGTCTTGCCCTTCGTGGATCCCAAACTACTGCAACTCCTTCTCCTCCTTCTTTCTCAGGATCATTTGTTTGCACTGACTTCATCTTCACCTCTAGCCACTTCTCTTCCCAGTACTTCCCCCTAATATTTTCTACTCTAGGTCCTCCACTGTTTGCAGATTTCTTGGGCATACAAGAATAATTACTGGAAAACAGAAAGCATTCAACCCATGTCGAAAAAGACTTTCAGTATAGGGAGGTGTAAGAGGGAGCTAGAGTGAAAGGACAGGGACCTGTGGGCTCAATCTTGAAGAATAGACAGTCATAAGACTGACTTTGGGAAAAAGAGGCAAGAGCATTCTAGAGAGAAAACATAGTAATGGCTTGGAACTAGAAATGAGCACTGCATGTTCTGAGAGAGCCAGCAAGGACAGTTTAACTTACACCATTAAAGAGGAGAGTTTCTGGGAGAAGTAGATTAGAGGGGGACTGGGTAGGACAGGGTCTTCAATATAATGATTTGATAGTAATAATAACAAGTAATACTGCTAAGATTTATTGAGTACTTCTATATGCTAGCCACTATGCCTAATGCCCTACATGTAATATGTTGTTTATTCCTCACAGCAAACCTATAAGGTAGTAATCATGTTCCTAATTTTGCAGCGAGGAAACTGAGCCTTACAGAAGTTAAAGAACTAATCCCAAATCACTCAAATAGGAACTTCAGGTGCCAGGATGTAAATCCAATTTGACTGATTGCAATGTATGCTTCTTTTCCACTGTTTCTACAGGGAGTGGTAGATTAATTTCTAGTGGTATATATGAGTGGTAGAACCGGTAGGCTAAAAGGGGAAGTTAATGATGTACAATTTGAGTTAAAAAAAACAATAACAGGTGGTAAAAAGAAGAAAAACTTTTGTACTAAAGGGCCAACAACAATTTACACTTCATTAAGATTCTTTTCTTTTGTATAAAGCATGCTGAAGATTTAATTTAAAAAAATTATTTATTTATTTGTTTGGCTGTGCTGGGTCTTAGTTGTGGCATGCAGGATCTTTGCTGCTGCGTGCAGGATCTTGAGTTGTGGCATGTGACCTCTTAGTTGTGGCACGTGGGATCTAGTTCCCTAACCAGGGATCGAACCCGGGCCCCATGCATTGGGAGCACGGAGTCTCAGCCACTGGACCACCAGGGAAGTCCCTAAAGATTTAATTTTAAAAGTCACTAAAAACTAGAAACAAACCTAAATTATAAGTATTCTTAAATAATTTATGCCATGTAATGAATATTATGTAGCTGTGAAAAAATATTTTTGAAGTATTTTTAATAACATGAAAAATCACTTAGACTATAGTAAGGGGATAATTATAATAAGCCTATCATTGAGAAATAAGAGGATAAGTTATGACGTTAATGAAAAATAGTAAAAAATTTTTAAAAAAAGGAAGAAAATATGTAAAAATGACAGAAATAATTACAGCTGGGTAGAAGAACAGGCGGTTTATTTTCTTTGTATATTTTTCCTATAGGGTATTTCAAATTTACCATAACGGGCACGTTACTTTTTTTTTTTTTTTTTTGCGGTACGCGGGTCTCTCACTGTCGTGGCCTCTCCCGTTGCGGAGCACAGGCTCCAGACGCACAGGCTCAGCGGCCATGGCTCACGGGCCTAGCCGCTCCGCAGCATGTGGGATCTTCCTGGACCGGGGCACGAACCCATGTCCCCTGCATCGGCAGGCGGACTCTCAACCACTGCGCCACCAGGGAAGCCCCCACATGTTACTTTTAAAATCAGAAAAAAAGTAGTAACTAGTAACAAGAGAGATCTCTTTAACTTCCTTTTCATCCAATGACATCTTCCTTCTTTCTTAATTCTTTTCCCCTCTTCACTCTGTCCAGTTTTAGCCCAGTATTTCAGGTGGAAATGGGCATGCTCACTCATATATCTATATGTTTGATGGTCTTTGTACAAGTGGCAATACTGCACAGAAGGGTACCAGGCTAATACTTGTTTCTCAAAGGAATTTAAGATCTTGGCTAAGCACATAGGCTTTGAAGTTATACAGATCTGAGTTTGAATTATACTCTTGTAATTTATTCACTATGTGACCCGAGGCAAGTTTCTTAACCTGAGGTTAATTTTCTAATATGAAAAAATATTTTCCTCATACAGGGTTATTACAATTTAGTAAGCTAATACATGGAATATACCTGGCAGAGAGAAAAAAATTCAATAAAAGGTAGTTATTACTTGGGGGAAGTGCTGTAACCTTCATGTTACACAAAACTAGATTCATATATTTGTCCAAACCAGGCTAAATACGTCCTCAAAAGTAGAGTGGCAATAATACGTTCCATTTCTACATCCTAAAGGGATATGCATGGTTAAAGCCTCTCTAAAATTGAAACCCATTTCCTTCACTGCACTTGAATATTTTGTTATTTTACTTGTTTATTTTCTGTTTCCCTCACAAGACTCTTAAGCTCCATAACTGAGTGTGTTAGTTCCTCTCATAAATCCAGACACTGGTATAGTAGTACATGGTAATGGTTGGTCCTCAATAAATGTTTGTTGAACAGATAAAACTTCATATTCTCCCAACTGCAAACCTTGTATCTCTGTTTCTGCAAATATATTGAATATTTTGGAATACTTAAGTATTGCCAGTGGAAAAGAGAAACTAAAGGTGACAAGCATTTCCAGTCCACCATAGTACCACAGCTGTCATTTATTTTCCTCTGACCCATCTAGCTAAGCTTAGAAAGAGAGGCCTAGTTTTGCAGAGTCTCTCAACACGAGCACTCCAATCAGGACACAGAAACAATGTACTGTGTGGTACTCCTTTCCAATTTCACATTTCAGAAAAATGGCCACTCTAAGCAGTAACTTGACATCCTTGGAATTGCTGGAGTGCACTGAAAAGTGCAGTAGCACTTCCTAAGCATACCACCGCGACCCCGCAAAAAGAAAAAAAATTCCTGCAATTAAAAGCAAAAACCTAAACATTAAGTCCTTACTTCTCATCTAAAAAAGCTGAATCATAATATCTCTCCAATGGGATTATTGTGAGGATTAATGGAAATGGGGCATGAAAAGCACTGAACACAATAGTTAAGTACTAAATAAACAGTAGCCATTGTTAAAACACAATCCTGAAGTGAACATCATGCAGGGGCATGAACATATCCTCTTGTGTGAATTAAGTTTTGAACAGCAAAACTGCTTAGGTAACTTGAGTTTCATATTAAAATTACACTGCATTGCCTTTCTGTTTTAATTCTCATTTGTATGAAATTTTATTAAGTAAAAAAAAGTTAAAAACCTTTTTATAATTGCATTTTAATTTAATTCCTGCAATTTTATAACTTAAATGGAATTTTACTTTATTTTGTATGACAGAAAGTTATCAAAAGCCAAACTAAATTATTAAAAATGTTCTTTAAAAAACTATGTATTTTACCTGGCCATTTCCAAGCAGAGATGTATCTTTCCCTATTAGAAAATAGGATCCAAAAAAGAAAATAAAGGCATGACTGAAACCCAAGATGGTCCAATAAAGAAATGTTTTCATGCTTAGTTGACGGTTTTTACTAATGTCTCTGCAAATTTAAGAAAAAGGAAGAAAAAAAGAAATGTATTAGGACTTATTATACTTACTAAATAATTATTACAGTTTGATAATTAAAAAACAAGATGCATTTTTAATTTAAAATTGCTTAAAAATTTTAGCAGAAAGAATAGAACCTAATTTACAAACCACTGCTTATAATATACATCTGGGTAACAGCTTATAATTCTCATAATATATTCAAATACATTTTCTCATTTAATAAAGAAATATGATATAGGCATAATAGTTCAGTTTAATTGTGAAAAGTTGATTTTTCTTTGTTATATTCTTTTTTTTTGGCTGCGCCTCATGGCTTGTGGGGTCTTAGTTCTCCAACCAGGGATCGAACCTGGGCCCCAGAGCAGTGAAAGCCTGGAATCCTAACCACTGGACCACCAGGGAATTCCCTCTTTATTATATTCTGTTGTAAACATTCAGTCATTCTGCCATGATTGTTTCTTTTTAGTGGAGTCATCTGAGTTAGGTTCAGCACTGAGGCTCCTAAATGAGTTCCTGTCTATCAATAGCTATTATGAGAAGAACCATCTGTGCCAATCTTGGGTCAAGCCCAGTCCTAGTTAACCTGGGAAATCAAGGTAAGTTACTGCCATTTCTGGATAACTGAATATCTCTGTAAGTGTAGAGGTCAAGTTAATGTGGGAACCATAAGCTGGTCCTGAGCTGACTCCACATATCTATGATTACTTGGTTCTGAGAAAGGAGTAACCCAGGGGAGCTGGGAAGATTTAATGTCCTCAACTCTGCATTTTGCATCAATTACTACTCATAAATTTGGCAGTGCTAGAACATGAACTAATTTCTTAGGAACTCCAGAGACAACTAATTACTGAATAACTTCTTTTGTGTCCATGAAACAGAGTATTACTGGTTTACAACAGTAAGTGTAAATTACACAACTGCTCAATGCATTCCTAGGATGAAACTATTCATTCCTAAAAACATTGGAAAAAATCATTCAAATCTTCTCTTTAATGTTCAACAATTATAAACCATATGACAACTGAAGTACTTCCTCAGTAAAGCATTAAGCACCAAGACAGTGCCTGATATATCTGCTTATTTTTAAGATACTTTCAAAAATTGATAACTATGTAATGTACTATTTGCAGTAAGAAATGTATGGACATTTAATACTGGAAAACACTTACCGATAGAGAGTGGGCTTGTTCTGTAACACATGAGGGTCTATATGCTGTTCCAACAGACTATATATCAGAATAGGCAGGGATGTAAAACAAATATTGTATAAAGTCAGGTACACGCTGTCATACAATGTCTAGAAAGAGAAATTTGTAGGAATTTTGAGACACTAAACTATGTATTACTATTATACTTATGCATGTAATTACAAAGAAGCATATTAAAAATAAATATAAAAATTACATTACATATTTTCTAATTTACACAAAATCCATTTTAATAATTCCAACTTGTTTCTTATATAGACATAATGTTCCTAGATTTATAATCTTTGTGGAATCTGGAACATTTTGTTATGTCAAGTGATTCTGCTATTATAGTGAATTGGATCTATATTTCAAGATACTCAAATTTGGTCACTGTGATGTAATTTTAGACATTCTCCTACATGTATCCTGGGCTTGTTATTATTCCCTTGATATGCTACACATATAGTTTTGCTTTCATGGCTTTGTCTTCCCATCTAAGTCCTACACTTCCTTTAATCCATGATCCATGAAACTTAAAAACACTGGCTCAAATTCCTGATGATAGCTGCTTCTTCTAAAGTCATATGTGCTACTGTTGGTAATTAGTTGGTACTAATTGCTGAGCACTTTGCCTATTCTTCAAATATTGCTTTTCTTAATATTGATACTGTCTCTCTAATTATACTATAAACTCCCCCAAAACCTAATCAAAATAGGTTAGGTCTCCTTGTCACATGCTCTTACAGCATTCTTTATTTCATCCAAGTAAGCAAACATGGTTACTGGCAATCAATGTCCAAGCAGGTATCTGAAATTTAGAGTTATAGGTTGTAAACAGAGGAGAAAACAGTGATTAAGGGTAGAAACAACTCATTAAAAAAACCTAAGAAGAATACACTTGTCATTTCAATAAACTAGAATAAATGTCTTGATCAATTAGAGATGTGGAGTGTGGTATGTGAAAAGGGTGCTCAGGTAGTCAGAAGCGGTAGGTCCAAGTATGGTTTAGCTATGTGATCTTGGGCAAGTTACTTAATCTCTACAGATTTCAATTTCCTTTTCTATGTGATATGTATACAACAAAAGGCCCACCATGTGCTTATTATAGCTACTGCTAACCTATTACACAGTTTTCCCTCTGAGCCTATAGCTTCAGAACCCTTTGCAATACAGCACTCCTGGAACCTCTATTAATTATTTACCTTCTGAGATGAAACCTGTATGTCATCCCTGGACTCAATCACTAATGTTTCTTCCAAATCTAAAAAAATTCTATGACTCAAAAAATAAATAATGAGGTAAACTTCCAATAATTATCTGGCCTGGCTTGATATGGATTTTGCAGAAACACTATACGTAAGTTGAAAAAAGTTAACAAAATTCTCTCATAAGCTATTAAGAGTTAATATCTATTTTTTTAAAAAAGCATCCAGAGTTAAAATATATTTTGGTATTAACACTTGCTTCAAACTGAAAATCAGAATAAAGAAATATTATGGATGTTATGCTAATTAAATGCACTATTAGAAAAGTTTTGTCTAGTTATCTGTAGGACTAGGAAAAATGGAAAAAGTCCGTTCAAGTATCTACCAAAAACTGAACACACACACTTTACTTTAAAAGGATAAAACAAAAGATTCTATTTACTTACCTGTTGAGAAAACAAACAGTAGAACTGATATAAAAACTGGGGTGTGATAAAGCACACATTCTGAAAAACAAGATTAAATGGAAATAATTGAAATATTGAGGTCTAAAAGAGAAACAATTTCTAAAAATGGCTACTAAGAGTCCAAAAATATAGTATCAGTTGATATGGTAAGTAGATCTGCCCATAAGAACTTGTCCATATAAAATGGGGAAACAGGATTCCCATTTTATTAAAAAATGTCTAAAAGTAGTCTAGGCAGCATTACAAATGTCAGAAAGAAAACACCTTTGACTCCTATCATTGCCAAGCAATACCGTAATTTTGAATTTATAACCTACCAACTATTATTCAATACTTTTCATTTATAGTACAATTAGAAAAGTTTACTTAAACTTTAGAGCTAAAATTGCTTTAAAATGCAGAAGTATTTAAAATACAACAAATGGAACGATCAAAACATCTTTCCATTTCAATAGCCTTATGTCACAGCAAAAGTTATAATAATAAGCTAGGAAAAAACTGCCACCATCATCTGTTAGCATTATGCAATCTACCTGTGTTCTTTCACTGGGTTGCAGCTATTAATTAATTATAGAAATATACGCAATATAGGACATTCTGATGTATTAAATGTCTTGGTACTCAGAGGCTCTTAATATGGATTCCACAGAACCCCATCTTTGCCCATAAGGGTCAAGAGATTAGGACAGTGTTTCAACGTAATTGGTTTCCTTGTAATCCTATATATTTTATTTTATGCATCTAAAATCCCTATAATTTGTAATCTCAAAAAAGATTAAGAACCTCTGCTTGAAATCATCATATTGGAGTTAAAATTAAAATTTATTACTGGTTCAGGACAACATAACAATAAAGAAATCAAACTAATTGTGTTCTAATTTGCATAGAATAAAATATTAAGTGTGAATTTTGATGTATTCTGACAAATTCACACAGCCGTGTAACCACGACCATAATCAAGTTGAACTTTTCTGTCATGCAAAGTTCTCTCATATTCCTTTCTAGTCAATTCTATCACCTGCACCCTTGGCCTCAGGCAACCACTGATTTGCTTTCTGTGAGTACACATTAGATTTATTATAATAAAATAATAAAAGGATATTCCATAAACTGTTAAGTTTTACTTACAGAGAAAAAAATTTTCAGAATAATTTGTATGGTAATAGCATTCCTTAAATTGAAACCTCAAATACTCTGTTAGAAATTGATTCTAAAATATATCCATGAAACTTACCTTATAAAAAAAATACTGTACAAGGGTAGCTATTCTAATATAATAAAAATGACCATGAACAAAAAGCAATTTGGAGAGAAATTTAAATCTAGCTATTGCATAGTCACTGTTCCTTGCAGCTTGTCTTCCTTCTTTACCCATGATTCCTGTAATAAGGGGACAAAAAGGTAAGTTCATTGATAACTGATAAGTGTAATGTTTATGATATATCTGCAAATACCTTAATTAACTGTAGCAGTTGAACCTGGACTTAGGATCACTATATCCTAAAATATAGTAGACAATAGATTCCCAAAAGGTTGCTCCACTTAAATCAAATATGTAATTAACACAAAGCTGTAACTTATACCAGGCATGTAATACCAATTTTCAAAGAATCAGAATATAATAAAATTAATATAAAAATAATATTACAAGTTCAGGATCTAAGAACATTAAAAAAAAATTCTAATGAAGAGAATGCTATAAAACAGCTTTGACTTCACTATTTCCAATTAACATGAAAAATATGCAAATTGAGTAATTTGAACCAAGCAAATATGATGTTTAATGGTCTTAAAACTTTCATGCGTAAGTCAAACACAGTGTGCTTTTTAAAAGGAAAATGTACACTATTACTTGAAATCAGTACATAATTTTATCTGATAAATATGAGAACTTTTTTTTAGGTTACTATAATTCTTTAGGTTTCAAAAGTTATTGCCAAATTTGTTTATTCAATATGGAAGCAGCTTTGAAAAAATTATTTTTCAAAATTAAAATTTTTTACTTTTGTCATAAAAGTGTTCCAAAATGTATAGGTAAAGACAATCACCTATATTCACAACTCCTAGAGAAAACCACTATTTTTGGTCTATATACTTTTAGAATTTTTCCTTATGTGTATTTCATGTATGTGTATTTAACATATATAAAAACGAGTGCATAAAGATGGGATTATTTGTTTTGTAATCAGCTTTTGTCACTTACTACATTATGGACATTGTTTATAACATATGTGTTTGTTAACATATTCATTTATTTTCTTAAAAGAAATTCCTGGATGCAAAATTGCTAGGTCAATAGGCACACATTTAAAATTGTTATACATAATAATGCAGGTGTACCAATTTACATTCCCACTAACATCGTATAAGGGCATCTGTTAATCTATACCTTTGTCAATTCCAGGTTTTATCAATCTTTGTAATTTTTGCCAATCTGATAAGCAATTTTAATTTATATTCTTTTAATTATTAGGGAGACAACATTTTTTCGTGCATTTAGTATTCTGTTTAGATTTCTCCTTTTGTGACAACTGATGGCTCACACCTTTCAACATATTTCTACTAGAATGTTTTCCTTATTCTCCTTAATTTAAGACCTCACATATTAGGAAGATTAAGACTGTCATCTATTTTGCAAATATTCCTTACCAGTTTGTCTTTAAAATTTGTTTATGGGAAGTATTTACTTCTGCCACACATATTGATCTTTTTCCTTTTTAGTTCCTTGTTTTGTTTGGTTTTGTACCTAAAAGATCCTTCCATACTCAAATAACAGGATTATTCATTAAAGTTTCCTATTATTTTTTATGGCCTTCAAAAATTATTTAAATCCTTAATCCATCTGGAATTTGTTTTGCTATAAGCAATGGAAAGGAACCCACTTTTTTTTTCCAAATAATTAACTAGTTATAGCAGCATATTTTAATCAAATAATTTGCTTCCCTACTTATCTGAAACATCTCCTTTGTTATATACTAAATTTCCAGATGTTTGAACTGATTCTGTTCACTAGTCTGGCTGTTATCATATTAGAATCAAACTGTTATAAATACTGTAGTTTTTATGCTCTAACATATGGTATAGGAAGTTATCATCAAATTACTATGAAGATTTCTGGGAAACAACAGTATACACACTAGAAAGAAAATAAAATTTTCCAAATGAAGAGTTAATAATCCCAAAGAGGAAGGAGTTGATTTGAGAGATACACTGGAAATATTAGACCCAATAACTACTCATCACATAGGCAATTCCAGAGCGAGGAGTATCCTCTTTTCTAACTCTAAAATTTTATCCTTCAACAAAAAGCCATACTCTTCTCTTTTCCTTCCTCAATAAAATTATTGAGGAAGTTAGGTCAGAATATGGTTTAAATAGGAAATGACTGATAATTTAAACATAATAAAGTGATTTTAGTATTCTGAATCTAATAAAAATTTTAGGCAAAAATAGAAAAGAAATCAAAATGAAGGTTATTAAATTAGAAAGTTATTTGAAATTTTACGATTATATTATAGTTTGGTGTAATTTCCTGTCTCTAAAATTATCTTTAAAATAAGTTGCAGAATCTTTGATGAATAAAGTAAATAATAATAACATTCTGAAATGAGAATTTAAAACCATGAGGGTAACTATGTAAATCACAAATTTAGAGTTTCAAAATGATAAAATAATGTGTAAAAGTACTTTAAAAGGTACAAAATGGTAAGTAAAAGTAAAGTTACTTTATTGGGAAGGAGAATTGGCAAAGATAAAATTCACTAATGTGGTATTTATTTCCTTGAAAATTTGGAAGTAAAATATCCTAAATATTGGGCTTAGTTATAATAGCTTTCTGATGGAAATACACTGTGATATATTACCCTGCTGCATTTAGTTTTCATTCATATATTTAATATTGTGCTTTAGTCTACAAAAGGAAAATTCAAAATCACCAATTGATTAAACCAACTTTAAAAGTTCAAGAAAAAATCAGTCACCTATGCCAACATGTGCTTCTTGTATCATGCTTACATCATTAGCACCATCGCCAACAGCCAATGTTATAGGCTTCTCAGGTGAGATTTTTATCAGTCTTATTACCTGAAAGACATACAACTAATTAGTTTTGATAAAATTTAAATCTTCATGTATTTATATAAAGTCATTTATCTGAAACGATCTGTTGTAAGAAAAGTAGAGCAATGAAAAAAATGTTTATATTAGACGATAATAGGCACCGAGGTTCACTTTTTGAGGGATGTCTCCATTAAGATGTTAGGAATGTTTTTCAGAAATGACACAGCAAAACAGAGTACTATCTTTGGATTTTATGATGGTATGTATAAACACAGTTTAAATTTGTAAAAAGCTTAATAATAATTGTGTAAAAAGTAATTACAATTAATTGAACTTTGTCAGGCAACTTTTTTTCCTTCTCAAGAAATTATTCTTTTCATTTGATACAGGGGAAAGATAATTATTTTCTCTTGTAATAAAATTTTTAAAATTTTATAAAGCAATCAAAATTAAATTCAATAAAATCAAAAGAAAGGTTTCTTTGGAATACTTGAATATACTTTTATAAAGAATCTAGGAGGACTTCCTTGGTGGCACAGTGGTTAAGAATCCGCCTTCCAATGCAGGGGATGCAGGTTCGATCCTGGTCAAGAACTAGATCCCACATGCGTGCTGCAACTAAGAGTTAGCATGCAACAGCTAAGGAGCCTGCTGGCTGCAATCAAGGGGTCCACCCGCCGCAACCAAGAAAAAAAAAAGAATCTAGGCATTAGCTCTGTTTGGTCTCAGGTTTTAGTCTCCATAGACTGGGGGAAATACATGGGTTATAATAATAATAAAATAGGCACTGTAAAAAAAAATCCACGAAGCCAAAAAAACTGGATGTAAAATTTTTTAGATCTATATGTAAAAAAATGTGTTCAGATGTGCATTTCAAAGGGTATCCTTGTGAAGATTACAGTTGTAAAAAATATTTGTATAGGCTATCACTTGAATCATAGCTGAACTTTAAATAATTCCTGTATATAGCTTCATATCAGAATTAATTGGCTTTTCAACTTTTTACTAAAGTTCTATTTATCACTTAACAGCTATCTTTAACAAAGAGAATTATCACTTTGTAAGAATGCAAGAATAAGCACAGATCAACAGAACCACCTGGAGGTGCAGATGAACTGAAGTCTTATAGGCTCCCTCACCAGTTAAGTAACTAACTTGTGAGACTTCAGTTATCACAGTTCAAATTTATGTCTCAGGAAAATCACAAACTGCTACCTACCACGTGATCTATTTCTAGGTCATTATGAATAGTTGAAACTTCAGTATTCACTGTGAAATTTCCAAAGGCCTAATGTACGTGGTTAAAATTCATATTATGAGAAGTGACTGACCCCTAGTAAGATACATATACTGCATATCACCAAATGGAACTAGATGAGGCATTAACGTTAAAGAATACTTTTTTTTTTTTAAATTAATTTTACTTTTGGCTGCTTTGGGTCTTTGTTGCATGCAGGCTTTCTCTAGTTGCGGCGAGTGGGGGCTACTCTTCCTCGTGGTGTGCGGGCTTCTCATTGCGGTGGCTTCTCTTGTTGCGGAGCATGGGCTCTAAGCATGCGGGCTTCATTAGTTGTGGCACATGGGCTCAGTAGTTGTGGCTCGCGGGCTCTAGAGTGCAGGCTCAGTAGTTGTGGTGCACAGGCTTAGTTGCTCCACGGCATGTGGGATCTTCCTGGACCAGGGCTCGAACCCGTGTTCCCTGCATTGGCAGGCGGATTCTTAACCACTGTGCCACCAGGGAAGTCCCAAGAATACTTTTAAATCTAAATATATTTATGGGACTTGTTATGACATAAACATACCTTTGCTTTCTGCAGTGGTGCCATACGACAGCACATTACAGCTGAACAATTTTTACAAACTTCCATAAATAGTTTTTCATGTTCCCTGAGTGCAAGAGACAGACTGGTCCCATCCACCACCAGACCATGCTGAATAACATGGTCCTCTGTAATTCTAAAAAAGAAAATAATTATATTCTCTGTAAGATACTTTAAAGCCATATTATTCAGACTCATCTAGTAAATAAAAGCTTCTTACTGAAAGATGGATCATTTACTCACAGACTTCACTGTTACAAAACTGGCATGTCAGGGAACAAACTGAGTTCTATCACTTGAAAGTTAAGATTAAGCAGAACTGAGAGTGACTGATATGATGAGTAAAACAGATGATATTCATTTTTACAATGAATTGGTATATACACGCAGTAACCATATTTTCTAAATTTCTAATATTTTCTAAAATGTGAACTGAGGATATTCTCCCAAACTGTGAGTATGGAAAGTCTTACAAAAATAAAAAAAGTTACTAGTTACACATTTAGGAAATCCTAATTTTAAAAAATTAAATGACATCAAGAATGTTCGGGAAAATTTACAAGCTAGATTCACCGTAGGAAGGAAAGGAATGAAGGAATCATAACTGTCTCTTGATATTTAACCCTACAATGGACTGTAATGCCAGGTATTATGATGGTGGAACATGGATAACACCCCTCTTGTGGGCATACACTATACCGAGGACTACTCCAAAGCATGACCTAATTACTGGCAACTGGGCAAACTACTTGTGACAAGAAAGAGGTAAGAAGAAGAAGAAAAACAAAAAGAAAGATAAGAAGCTTGCATCAGTATGTAAATCAACTGTATTACTGAGCACACTATTTTGTTCAACTGCTTTACCCCGCTCCTCCTTTGGTAGTAAGAGTTTCTCGCTGAAAGAAGCAGTGTATGTATATACAGATTTACATTCTGGAGCAAGCTTCTTATGCTGCTGAAGGCCAGCACTCAAAGTAGCATTGCACTAAATCCACCAAAAGGAAAATACTACAGTTCACCACTGGGTTCACAGTATAGCAAGACTGCTACTGAGAAACCTCCATACATTTTCAATTTTTTTTCAGCTTTATTGAGATATTATTAACATACAACATAGGTAAGTTTAAGGTGTGCAACATGATGGTTTGATACATATATATACTGCAAAAATGACTACCACAACAAGGTTAGTTAATACCTCCATCCTTTCACATATTTGTGTGTGTGTGGTGATAACATTTAAGATCTACTTTCTTTACAACTTTCAAATATATAATATAGTACTGTTAATTACAGTCACCATGCTGTACATTAGATCCCCAGAACTTATTCATCTTATATATAAACTTATATATAAGTTTGTACCCTGTGACTATCATCTCCCCATTTCGCCCACACCCCAGCTCTTGGCAACCACCCTTCTACCACTAGCTTTTTAAAATTCCACATATAAGTATTTGTTTCTCTCTGACTTATTTTACTCAGCATAAAGCCTCAAAGTCCATCCATGTTATCACAAAAAGCAAGATTTCCTTCTTTTTTATGGTTGAATAATATTCCTTTGTGTATGTGTATACACACACACACACCACATTTTCTTTATCCATACACACATCAATGGACATTTAGGTTCTTTCCATTCTTGGCTACTGTGAATAATGCTGCAATGAACATGGGAGTGTGGATATCTCTGAGATAGTGATTTCATTTCCTTTCGATAAATACCCAGGAGTGGAATTGCTGGATCATATGGTAGTTCTATTTAAAATTTTTTCCATACTGTTTTCCACAGTGGTTGTACCCTCAAATTTTAAATGACAAGTGAGAAGACTATTAAATGAGCAACAAGCTATAAAAACTAAATAAATACTGTAATTTTTTGTCTTATAATACTTAATCCTTTTCTGTAAGTTAAAATGTCTTTCATAGTATGCCTAACAACTGCTGTGTTGCACTACAACTAATAAGTGGTAAACAACATTCATAACATAAAATTTTAAAAATGTATATTTCTTTTAATAATTCTCCAATATCCAAAATCAGCACCTAAACTATTCTTCCTCCCTGTTGGCTGAACTTATTTAGCAGCTCTGCTGCCTCCAATGCATTCAGCGTGAGCACTACCTGAGCACATGGCCTCATAAGAAGAAGTAGCAGCCAAGAGTAGGATAGATCAGATCAGTTTTCCTTGACAACCTTCCCACGGCATACTAACTTAGGTTTTCCTCTGGACAGGTGTCATAAATCAGCATACTATCTCACAATCCATGCGGTGACATTTATGCAGTATGGAAAACCAGCTCACAGTTCTGGTACACAGTAAGGTAGCATTTTCTGTAGTCTCATGTCTCAATACTTCCCACATCGTCTCCCATCTATTCCATTCTCTGGCCATATTTAACTACTATCAATTCCTTGAATGAATCTCTCAGCTCTGGGAATTTGCATACATTGCCCGCTTTGCTTCTTGGTGTTACTTTCTGACCAGTTTACATTTCATCGCTGGAAACAACAGTCGTGAGTTCTAATGTAGAGCAAGAGCTTAGCCTAGGCTAAGCTCAGGCTAGGCTTCCCTCTTCTGTCTACCCACAGCTCTCTGTTCTTGCCTCAGTTACAATTCAGTTGTGATAGGTCTATGACAATATATTTATTTCTGTTTTTCCTACACATTGTAAGTATTCTGGGAATAAATACACCTTATGTGACTCTGTTCCAAATGCCTAGATAAGAGACAATCATTATATGTTTGTGAAGGACTGGATATATACACTAAAGCTTTCAAAGGTATGGAATTCTTTTGCTATACCCAAGATTTTTAGAATAGATACTTCCTGAAAGTCTGTAAATCAAAATCCTATTGACTTACACGGTTAACTCAGAAAATGCACTCTAGGAACTCCCTGGCAGTCCAGTGGTTAAGACTCTGTGCTCCCACTGCTGAGGGCCCAGGTTCAACCTCTGGTCGGGGAGCTAACATCCCACAAGCCTCATGGCATGGCCAAAGGAAAAAAAGAAAAGAAAACGTACTCCACCAAAAAGATGGTATCTCTAAAACATAAGTTTCACACAGCAAGCCTAAAATTCATTTTAAGGTATAACCTTCACTTTATAATACAGCTTTTGTACAAAAAGGGAAATGAACAATACCCATGATCTTAACAGACTCACTAAAAGCACATATATAGAAGACTTAAAAAAAATTCTAAAATACAAGTAATAATTATCTTTACATGGCTGTATTATGTTATTAACCATATCTTCTTCACCATTTTCAGTATTTTTTAAATGAACATTTACTATTTTTAAAATCAGGAGTAATATTTAAGAAGTAAATGATTCTGAGAAAATAGTTTGTATGTTTTAGGGAGTTCTTGACATTATGATACTTAAATGTTTAAGCAATCACAATAGTGTTGGCACTGCTCCAAAACTGTAGTATAATTACCTAAATTAATCACCTTTTTGAGCTCAAGCAAAGACCCTTCTGAGAGCTGTACTGTCTCTTTAAAACATTCCTTAAGTAAGTTTTTCTCTGATGAAATCCAGAGTTTAGTATCACATCAATCTCTGCATAACAAATGTAAATCAAGCACTGAATGTACATTGACAACTGTGGCACTGTCTTTTCGTATTTGTTTTTCTGCATTAATATTACAAGACTGCAAAGACAGGTACCTGTAGAATATCTTAGATGGCTACATACAAGCAACCCTGATGCTTACACTGAAGCACTCCTAATTTATTGTAAAAACAACTGACTGTGTTAAATGGGGGCTCCTAAATAAAGTTGATTTACCTAAAAAAGCAGATTTAGAGAAAAAGAGAACGCATTAAGAGCATAAATACCTATGAAATTATCTTTGAACAGTAAAATGCAGATTAATTTCCCTGTTTGGTCATGTGAACCTCATCAGTGGTTGGCAAATGTTTTCTGTAAAGTGTTAGAAGTAAACATTTTGATTTTAAGTTTTGTGGGCCATGAGGCTAAATTGAGGATATTATGTAGGTACTTATGCTACAAAAGAGGAAACAAATTTTGACAAAAAAAATTTTAAGTAAAAAATGTAATAATTAAGGGACTCTCTCGCCTTCTGAGAGGGTCCACACTGTCTGTGGAGTGTTTCTCCCTAAATAAATCCACTTCTTATCTATCACTTTGTCTCTCACTGAATTCTTTCTGTGATGAGACATCAAGAACCCGAGCTTCATTAAGTCCTGAGGCCAGTCTTCTGAGTTCTGCGGGAACTAAGGCCCGCACCCAGGTGGAGGATGGAATGATGATGTTGACCCACATGACTTCAATCAACTAAAGCTTGGACTCTATCAATCGTGGCCCCAATTCTATGCTGAATTCTCCTCTGCTCAAGCCCCTTCATGAATATGCATGTACCCTTAACTTAAAACTTCCCCAAGTTTGCTGTTTGGGGGAGACACTATTTTAGGAAAGATCCCCAGTGTTCTCCTTACTTGCTGCAAGTAATAAATCTTTCCTTTTCCCGGAAAAAAAAAAAATTAAGTACAATTTTTAAAATAATAGAAGTCTACTAATGAGGAGAACAGAAACCTTTTTATTTTGCAGGGGGAAGAACTCCAATTAATTTTGATTAATTGGGGTTCAAAGTTCATGTTTCCTATCATCAAAATCAATTGCACATGTCCATCTGTTAATGCTGATCTGTAATGAGATTTTACATTTTATTGCAAAAGAGCCATCTGTAATGAGATTTTGTATTTCATTTTTGATTATGTCTTTTCAAACAGGCAGTATATTAAAGCATATTATCACTGAATAATAAACACAATGCTCTGCCACCTAATTTGATAATAATCAACACTCCACTATGCTTTAAGAGTGTGATATTAAAAATCCATTTTTCTTTTCATGTTTGGACATGATGGTTAAATACTGATAATAAAAATATACTAAAATGTCATATGGCAAAATGTGTGGCACGGAAAACATTAACAAGTTATAATTGTGTCGCTGTGATTTGTAGTAATATCAAGCAGCAATGAGAAATGAGAAAGGTGCTTTATAAGGTCTGTCCCAATTACTCAACTGTGCTGTTACAGTGCAAAAGCCTTCACTGATGATGTGTAAATGAACAAATGTGGCTCTATTCCAATAAAAATTTATTTACAGACACCAAACTTTTAATTTCATGTAATTTTCACACCATGAAATATTACTCTTCTTTGACTTCTTTTTCATCCATTAAAAAATGTAAAAATTATTTTGAGCTCATGGGCTGTAAAAAAGGCAGTGGGCCATATTTGGGCCCATGGGCCATAGCTTGCTGGCCCCTGAACTCCATGATACAGATAATTATATTCTTACCTTCTGGCAAGCTGCCTCAACTTTTCAGCACATTCACTGTCTGACGTCTGGTTTATAAGTTCAAGGATGTTCATGGTTCTGTGAAAATGTCCACATGACAAACTCACACTAACAGCTGTTTCATGTTTATCTCCAGTAAGTACCCATACTTTGATACCAGCCATTCTCAATGCTTCAATAGTTTCTCGAACTTTATCTTGTAGTCTGAAAATAAAAGAAACAAAATTAGTAGTAGAGAACATTTTTTTGACTGTATTTAAAGTATGAACCACAAAGTAAAGTAAGGTAATTCCGAACTCATTAACCTAGGGATGTTATAGTATAGTAATATAATTGAATTTTTTTTCTATTAGGGAAAAAATAGGAATAACCAAATTAGTGACCACCTGGCTAATATAAAATCTACAACTGTGTGCTAACACATGTTTGTCACAATGGGAATTCCAGAGTTGTGAGGCATTTTAGGTGACAGATACTAAATGATCACTTGGGTCAATACTGCCTTAATGAGAACATTTGTGCATTCTCACAATTGTAAAGTTTCCTTCCCTTCATTTTGGTTACTGATAATACTACTATAAATGTATTTGGTTTTTTGAAGCTCACAGGGTATTGATATGTTGGAGCAGTATGTAAACTTAAATGTAAAATCTACAACTTCATACTTTAAGAGTGTATCTTCAAAGCTGATTTTTATAGAACCAACTAACTATATAGTCTTCATAAACTCATTTTCTTAGAAAGTCTTAAATTTCAAATTAGAAGATTTTCTCCTTTTTCGGCAAGAAAATCTCTTACCTCATTAGTTCAAAATTCAGACTGTGGACAATAATGGTCTACATATAACCTCAGGGAGTCTCATAAATCTCATGAGGACAACTGAAAAGTAAATGAAACCCTAGATTTTAAAAAATGCAAGCACCTTTAGATCTAGGGGGTAGAGAAAAACATAACAATAGGCTTAATTTGTAGAATTCAATTTAATTCAACTGTGAAACACACATGGAGAGAGATGCTGGGAACAAAGGCAAAGAATAAGTAGACCTCAAGGAATTCACAGGCTAACAGAGGAGAAAGTCTTCAACAAATAATATACTGCCTACAAAACTACTACAACAGAACTACCTACAAAACATGGAGGCTTTCCAAACAAGAGAATTTTTAATACTATTAGGGGTTAGGAAAGGTCTTCCTGGAGTGGGGGTGATATATGAACTATGGTTTATGAATAGGTATTCACAGATGGATAAGGGAAGAATGATCCAGGCAGAAAGCACAGCCTTGCCAACGAAAAAAGGCACAAAATAGAACACTTTTAACTATAGTTGTCGTTCAGAGAACTAGACAGTTTGGTACTGTTGAAATGTAAAGTGGAAGGGGGCAGTGGTAAACGGTGAGGCTGGAGAATTAAGCAGGAGCTTAAAATCTTTGTATGGAACACTGAGGAATAGTCTAAAAACTCCAGACTACAGGCAAAACTATACATGGCTGGATTCTTTCAACTATTTCAGATAGCTGGCTATAACAAAAATTATATATATGGACTGGGAAAAATTAAGGCTTTAATTCTCTATTTTGATTTTAAATATATTAAGTATAAAATGTTAAAAAATAGAATTTGTCATAAATTAGAAACACTTGGCTAGAAAAATTCTTATGAGAGAAAAATGATATTGCCTATTTGTCTGATACTTACTTGTCTTCTACTGCTGTAGCTCCCAGTAATATCAGGTCTTTCTCTATGAACTGGAAGACATCTGCCAATTTCTCTTCCCGTTGCTGCAAGGCAGTCCTGGCTTCAAATAAATGTCTATCTATTTCCTCATACTCTTTAGGTGTAAACTCTCTATAGGCCATACACAGAGTTCTTAGCCCTTTCTAAAATAGGAAAATTAAAGACAAAAATTGAACAAAGATAACTAATGGGGAATTAAGAAGTCATTGAAATAAACTGAGGACCCCATTACCAAAATTCAACTATAAATAATTTAAAAAGTACTATCATCTAGTGATAGGAAATAAATAAACTGTCACAAAACCCTAGTTACCTGAGTTATGGGACACATATTATCATAGCTCTTGCAATTTTTGATGAGTTCTTAAACAGTTGCTCAAAAAAATTAAGGTCACTGAATTGTAGAACATTATAGAGCCTAGACAGGATCATAAAGACGATCTACCTGTGATTTTAAATATGTTTTACCAGGAAAGCCAAAAAGTTCTATAATGGTACCTTTAGGATTGTCAAGAGAGAGGCAGCCCCAGGTTCTTCTCTCCTGTTTTAACCACTACAACTCCACTTTTATCTATTTATTTTTTTTAGACAATTTTTTTTAAAGTCTTTATCGAATTTGTTATAATACAGCTTCTGTTTTATGTGTTTTTTTTGGTTTTTTGGCCGCAAGGCATGTGGGATCTTCCCTAGCAGGGATTGAACCTGCATTGGAAGGTGAAGTCTTAACCACTGGACTGGCAGGGAAGTCCCCACTTTTATCTACTTTAAAAGAACTTTTTTTAAGCAAAGGGGACTATAATTTCCTGAGGGTTCATGATATGACAAATTCACATTTCAAATAAAGAAGCCTGTAAAGTGGTCATTATCAACCAACCAATACTTTCTAGAGCCACTGAATGAATGATTTTAAATTGTATCATTATACCTTCACTGGTGAATTGGAATTTCACAAAACTTAGGAATATATATTTGATTATCTGATTCTACCAGGTATAAACTTTTCTTATGGTGTTAATATTTGAAAGTTGGTATCTAAATCTGAAAGCTTACAAAAGTTCTTTTTCTTGCAACACATTTTCCTCAGAAAAACCCAAAATAAATGTTCTAATAGTAGGACTCAGAAAGGGAAGGTTTTAAAATACTATATGACACTACTTAGCAGATTTCTAAATGTTGTCATTCCTTGATTTACAAATGACCTACACCTATAAACACCTGCTTCTCTTAAATAACAGTTAAGAGACTATGAGAGTTACTAAATTAATTAATTCCACAACAAACATTTATTGAGTGCCAACTACGTGCCAGCATTTTTCTGGATTAAAATGACAGAAAAGTAGAATAGGACTTCCCTGATGGTGCAGTGGTTAAGAATCTGCCTGCCAATGCAGAGGACACGGCTTCGATCCCTGATACAGGAAGATCCCTCATCTTCCTAGGATGTTGCTTGCCATGGAGCAACTAAGCCCGTGCACCACAACTACTGACCTCACACTCCGCAACTACTGAGACCACATGTTGCAACTACTGAAGCCTGCATGCCTAGAGCCGGTGCTCCGCAACAAGAGAAGCCACTGCAACGAGAAGCCCATGCACCGCAATGAAGAGTAGCGCCCCCCGCTCGCCACAACTAGAGAAAGCCCACAGGCAGCAACGAGGACCCACCGCAGTCCCCGCCCCCCCCCCAAAAAAAGTAGAACAATGCCTTTGTTCTTAGGGATATTACAGCATGGTAGATGAACTAGACCATAAACAAATAGAAAGTAATGGGAGAAAAGAGACCATAAGTAAGTAAAGGAGGCAGGTGGGCAGCATTTATAGAAATGCAGAAATGAGAGATCATGAGGCTCTAAGACTGAGACGGAGCTGCTTAATAAGTTTCCTCTTCACATGAATTGTGGCACTTTGTTTTTGTAAGATTTTCCTATTCTTTTATTAAGAGGGACATAATTCACGTACCATAATTCACTTTAAAAAGTACAATTCAGTGGTCTTTAGTGTACTCACAAAGTCGTGCAACTGTTATTACTATCTAATTCCAGAACATGTGTGTCACCCCCAAAAGGAATTCCATATTCATTAGCAGACACTTCCCTTTCCCCCCTTTCTCCAGCTCCTGGCAACCACTAATATGCTTTCTGGCTCTATGAATCTGTCTTTTCTGGGTATTTCATATAAATGGAACATGTGGCCTTTTGTGACTGGCTTCTTTCACTTAGCAATCTTTTCAAAGTTCATTCATGATGTAGCATATATCAGTGTTTCATTCCTTTTAATGGCCAAATAACATTTTGTTATATGGATATGACACATATCATATATGGATATGACACAGCAGTTGATGGACATTTGGGTGTTTCCATTTTTTTGGCTATTAGGAATAAAGCTGCTAAGTACAAGTTTCTGTGTAGATGTATGTTTTCAATTCTCTTGGATGTATACCTAGGAGTGAAATTAACAAGTATATAGTAACTCTATATTACTCTATGTTCTATGAGGAATTGTAAAACTATTTTTGGAAGTGGCCATATCATTTATATTCCCATCGGCAATGTATCAGGGTTCCAGTTTCTACACATACTTGGGATTTTTGTACGTCTCTTTTTTTTTTGGTGGGGGGTCATGCTGCACAGCATGCAGGATCTTAATCCCCCGACCAGGGATAGAACCCATGCCCCCTGCAATGGAAGCACGGAGTCTTAACCACTGGACTGCCAGGGAAGTCCCTCCCTTTTTAATATAGCAATCTGAGTGGTCCTTGTAGCCATAAGTACTCTGGCTGTACTAGGTGCAAAGAGAAGACATATTTTAGCAGGTTAAAAAAGGTCAAATTTTAACCAACGAATGAGGAGCCAACATATAATGTAACACAACTGCATAATTTCTATAATTTTTGATAAAATACTAACGCAAAAATGAAACCCCAAATCTTTCATATATATATATTTTTTTAGCGGTTTTTAAATCAGAGAAATTTGCACTCACCAAAGCAAATTCATCTACATGAATTCTTGTTTTTTCTATTTCTCCACCTATACATTCCGGGAGAACTGATGATTCGGCTCCTTTAACAAATAAAAGTTTCTCACCTAAAAAGAAAAATGAGTTATCAAGTTCTTAGTATTACATAACTAAAAATTCATGAACATTTAAATTGGTTACCTGAAGGTGCCTGAACAATTACACTCATTCTTCTACGATCTGAATCAAATTCCAGAATATGAAGCAGTTTGTACCTAAGGAAGAAAAAATAAGAAAGACAAAATCTGTACTTTTTTGAATAATATTAAGTGAATATTTGGAAAGAATCCCTATAAAAGATAAAATGGTTAATTTAGAACAAGAAATTAATCTCAGTTACATTTTTCAAGATGATGGATTATGAGTCATTAATAACACAAGACAGAAAAAGAAGGAACTGACATTTATTAAGTACTTACCAAATGCCACGTACTTTACATACCTTATACCATTTAATACCCATGAGAACCAAAGGAGGTAGGTCTTATCTCATTTTACAGGTGAGGACTACTAAACTCAGAAAGATACACTCATTTGCCTTAAGTCAAATAAGCATGTGAATGGCACAGCAAAGAATGGAATACATATCTGCCCAGCTTCATGTTTTTCCTCACTAAAAAAGGTGACTGATTCTCAACTCTTTTTTCTGCCTAAACACACCTGAGAAATACGAACACTCACATTAGTAACAGAGGCTCATTACAGCAGTGATTCTGAACCTACGACAGGGCATGTGTGTGCAGTCGGGGGACACAAAGGCCTCTCTAGGGAGCTGTAAAAGAATTTGTGTGGATGGGTCAGATGTGGATTGAAAAGTCTTCTAGATGAATTTATACAATGATGTACATATGGAATGTTTTGGCACATCTCAAAGAAAAACACTGAGTAGAATGGTTTATAAGTTGATAAAATGAGCTAGACAGGCTCCCAGATAAAAGTAGCCAAAGACTGGGCACTATTTAGTTCAGAAAAGCATAGTCTGGAAAAGCACAAGTGGAGCTGAGATATGATCAGAAATGATAAAACCACAAAAGATATGAATGTGATAAGAATGGACTAATTTATCAAACAGAGGAAATACTGGAAATAATACAACAGTTCCTTAATGTTTGAAAGATAAAAATCATAGGAAAGATAAGGAAGTTTTTATTTAGTGAGTAGAAATTTACAAAACTCATTATCCTAAGAATGTGTAAAAATAAACACATAAGTAAATTCAAGAACCATTAAGCTAAAATACAGATGAAAGTTTCAGAGTATTATACTGTTACTACCATGATGAGATACAATGTAATACTGACATCATTCTAGAGCAGGTGTCAGTAAACTTTTCCTGTAAGGGCCCAGACAGTAAATACTTTAGGCTTTGAAGACCATATATGATCTCTGCTGCATATTTTTTTGCTTTGGAAAACACTTTAAAAATGTAATTTAGTTTGCAGGCTGTAGGCCAGATCTGGTTTCTGGGTCATAGTTTACCAATTCCTGTTCTATAGTAAACACTTAATATATAGAAAATTACAATATAGAAAAAAATTACCGTTCCAGTTTTCCAAGCGTTTTAACTTCCATAGTTTCTCCAGAATGGCCAATAAATACAATGCCGAATCTAGGGAATAAAAGGAGAAAGAAATATAAGGTTTAAAGGATGATATTTTATAATTCACAATATAACTAACTTGAATAAAATCATTTAAAATATAAGTTTAAGATGTATTTTAAAGTTATTTCCTTTGAGTATAGGATTATTTTTAAGAACTTGAAGGATGAGAGTAGATCCAAAACAATACATACACAAGTATTTCCCACAAATTATATTGTTCATATTTCACAGTAACCAGACTTTTAAAGAGATCGCTTCAAAATATGACTTAATGTAAGCCTGACAACAAAATTAATGACATTTCAAATTCTCATTTAAAATACTTTTATGTGTAAATATACATAAAATACCTTTATGTGTAAAAAAAGTGTAAAAATAAAATAAAATACCTTTATGTTTCTGAATTTTGTCTGAGAATTTAAAATTATGTTCTTGTATTTTCACATTTTCATTTAAAAGGTATGTTTCTGAAGATTTGAAAATTAAACTTAAACTACCTTGCAGCAGCTTCCACGAGAGCCTTTTCATCTGGTGAAGATGCATAGTACTCCAACTGGGAGGGTGCAAAGTTGGTTTGCCAGGGACCATCACCAATTCCATCAGTCTGAACACTGCTAATCTGCACAGTGTGACAGAGACTGACTGCTTTAAAGAAGAGATCATGTTCTTTAATCTGTAGAAACATAATTAATATTCATAATAAAATATACCAATACCAAATAACATGTAGGAACATGTAGGAAACCAGAAACAAAATTCTAAAAAATGCCAATAAATACAGCTCATAATTTGATAAACTAAGATGTAGAACAAGAGTGCTACAATTCTGAATTGCATAAATAATAGTTGGTTGCTTCTGAATCCCAAGAGTAAAACGTCACATTTGCTTCAACATCTGAGTATATTTTTAGGAGGCATAAACAAATTGCAAGTAAAGGTGAAACTCTTTGTGGAAGAACTGAGATCTCAAAAACTCTATTAAGCTCTATTCCTTAGCAAAGTCTTCTTTATTTCAAGGCAGAAAGGGCTTTCTTTAACTTAGTCCCATTTAAATACCCAGAGAACTAAAGTAGATACATCTATATACATATATATGTATATATATATATATATATATATATACATATATATATATATTTTTTTTTTTTTTTGCGGTACGCGGACCTCTCACTGTTGTGGCCTCTCCCGTTGCGGAGCATAGGCTCCAGACGCGCAGGCTCAGCGGCCATGGCTCACGGGCCCAGCCGCTCTGCGGCATGTGGGATCTTCCCGGACCGGGGCACAAACCCACATCCCCTGCATCAGCAGGCGGACTCTCAATCACTGCGCCATCAGGGAAGCCCTATATATATTTTTTTAGTGGAACATTTTATTTATTTATTTTTAATAGGTCCTTATTGGAGTATAATTGCTTCACAATACTGTGTTACTTTCTGTTGCACAACAAAGCGAATCAGCCATACGTGTACACGTCCCCATATCCCCTTCCTCTTGAGCCTCCCTCCCTAAAGTAGATGCATATTAAGTGACAAACTGGCTTATGACTATAAATTTTAAGTGCTGAATCAAAGGATAAACATTTCAAATGTATATTCCTTGCCCCACTAACACTTAAACTTTTTCTCCTACAACCCACCAACTAACAAAGAATTACTATTTCAAATGAAACTCCTATTTATTAACTTAAAAATTGCTTACTAGTTCAGTTTCATTTTCAGGACTGGTTCTAAAAGAGGAACTGGTTGCAAGATGGGATAAGTTGTTAAGATGGGATAAACTACTAAGATAAGATAAGTTTCCATCTGAAGAGTCTGGTGTTGGTCCTTCAGATACAAGTCTACCATTGATTTCTTGGTATTTTATACCATTAATTGAACATTCCCGAAACTGCATCTCGTTTTCAGTCAGTGTACCAGTTTTGTCTGTAAACACATACTCGACCTAGAAATAGAAAACAAAAGAAAACAAACCTTTATGTTCAGGGCATTATGTTAAACAAAAAAACTGTACTCTGGCTGCTGAAGTTGTTTACCTATTAACATTGATATACTCATGTTAAGAGTCTTATTTATAATCTGAACACAAGCAAATAATTAAAGATGCCACAGAAACAAAACAGGGTAATACAAAATATTTAAAATCTATATACTCTTTGAAGTCTGTGGCATCTTTAGGTTCATGTTCATCTATAGAGTTGACTGATAATTTCTGCTGAACAAGCAGGAGAAATACGAACTGCAGTTATTCTCTCTGGGCAAACTGAGGAAAAGTCAATACTGATATTTGGGGATACCCCCCAAAAACAGCTGGGCTGCCAGGCTTTTCTAGGGAAAACTTTTGGACTTGTAAAGAAAACCAAAGATTAGCATTCATTTGAGGATATCCCCTTACATGAAAAGGCAAAGAGAGTCTAAAACAAATGACAGGCATTTCCACGATAACACTGTCTTGAAAACACAAGAACTTATTACAATGAGACTGATATATAAGGGAACAATTTGAGCATAATATGAACTTTGCGTTTGATTATGAACAGTTTCATCTGTGAGAAACACTAGGTGAACACAGAAAACTGCATCCAGCATACATGAAATATACAAACCTCAAACAGCTAGCAGCTACTTCAGGTCACCATGTGTGTTATGAGCCATAACCATTCACACTTGGTATCATACTTTCCTTCTGTTTTCAGATAACCTTCCTTCCAATACTTCACAATAACACACAAATTGCAATACTTCTGATGGCCACTTTCACAAGCAAACTTCAGGTCATTTTCAAGATAAAGTGCCATATTTATTGTAGTATTTATGTATTTCTTAATAATTTAGCAAGTCCTGTTGTCATTAGGTTCTTATCTTTTTTTTTTGTTTTTTGCGGTAAGCGGGCCTCTCACCGCTGTGGCCTCTCCTGTTACGGAACACAGGCTCCAGACGCGCAGGCTCAGCGGCCATGGCTCGCGGGCCCAGCCGCTCTGCAGCATGTGGGATCCTCCCGGACCGGGGCATGAACCCGCGCCCCTGCATCGGCAGGCAGACCCCTAACCACTGTGCCACCAGGGAAGCCCTTATTTTTTTATTTTAAATGTGTTACTGACAAAGTTTTTGTTGTATCCCAATTCCATTTTCCCATAAGCCCTGTGTGTCTTTTTTTGTTTTTTTTTCTTGCGGTACGCGGGCCTCTCACCGTTGTGGCCTCTCCCGTTGCGGCCTCTCCCGTTGCGAAGCACAGGCTTACGTACGGGCAGGCTCAGCAGCCATGGCTCACGGGCCCAGCCACTCTGCGGCATGTGGGATCTTCCCGGACCGGGGCACGAACCCGTGTCCCCTGCATCAGCAGGCGGACTCTAAACCACTGCGCCACCAGGGAAGCCCAGCCCTGTGGTTTTTACTAAGTAATTTTGCATAGCACAGTGATTTTAGGAATGCATATGTCACGTTACAGCGGGACTGATGTACTGAGAAAGGAACTAGAAAAAAACTGAGAAAATGCAACTAGCAGAAGGCTTTAAAGAAACTGTCATTAATATCCTCAAAGAGGTGAAAGAACAGATTATATTCAAGAAACAAGAATAAGATGTAATTAAAAGATGACCATTTTGGGAATTCCCTGGCTGTGCAGTGGTTAGGACTCTGCGTTTCCACTGTGGGGACATGGGTTCGATCCCTGGTAGGGGAACTGAGATCCCGCAAGCTGTGTGGCCAAAAAAAAAAAAAAAAGACCATTCAGATATACTAGGATATTAGAAATTAAAAACATTACAATACAAATAAAAGAAATCAAAAGATAGGTGGAATCAGAGGGCAGACGGCAGAAGCAAGAAGAACTACAATCCTGCAGCCTGTGGAAAAAAACCACATTCACAGAAAGACAGACAAGATGAAAAGGCAGAGGGCTATATACCAGATGAAGGAACAAGATAAAATCCCAGAAAAACAACTAAATGAAGTGCAGATAGGCAACCTTCCAAAAAAAAATTTCAGAATAATGATAGTGAAGATGATCCAGGACCTTAGAAAAAGAATGGAGGCAAAGATCAAAAAGATGCAAGAAATGTTTAACAAAGACCTAGAAGAATTAAAGAACAAACAAACAGAGATGAACAATACAATAGCTGACAATGAAAACTACACTAGAAGGAATCAATAGCAGAATAACTGAGGCAGAAGAACGGATAAGTGACCTGGAAGACAAAATGGTGGAATTCACTGCTGCGGAACAGAACTAAATAAAAAAGAATGAAAAGAAATGAAGACAGCCTAAGAGACCTCTGGGACAACATTAAACGCAACAACATTCGCATCATAGGGGTCCCAGAAGGAAAAGAGATAGAGAAAGGACCAGATAAAATATTTGAAGAGATTATAGTCGAAAACTTCCCTAACATGGGAAAGGAAATAGCCACCCGAGTCCAGGAAGCGCAGCGAGTCCCATACAGGATAAACCCAAGGAGAAACATGCCGAGACACATAGTAATCAAATTGGCAAAAATTAAGTACAAAGAAAAATTATTGAAAGCAGCTAGGGAAAAATGACAAATAACATACAAGGGAACTCCCATAAGGTTAACAGCTGATTTCTCAGCAGAAACTCTACAAGCCAGAAGGGAGTGGCATGATCTGCTTCAAATGATGAAAGGGAAGAAGCTACAGCCAAGATTACTCTACCCAGCAAGGATCTCATTCAGATTCGATGGAGAAATCAAAAGCTTTACAAATAAGCAAAAGCTAAGACAATTCAGCACCACCAAACCAGCTCTACAACAAATGCTAAAGGAACTTCTCTAAGCGGGAAACAAAAGAGAAGAAAAGGACCTACAAAAACAAACCCAAAACAATTCAGAAAATGGTCAGAGGAACATACATATCGATAATTACCTTAAACGTGAATGGATTCAATGCTCCAACCAAAAGACACAGGCTTGCTGAATGGATACAAAAATAAGACCCGTATATATGCCTGTCTACAAGAGACGCACTTCAGACCTAGGGACACATACAGACTGAAAGTGAGGGGATGTAAAAAGATATTCCATGCAAATGGAAACCAAAAGAAAGCTGGTATAGCAATACTCATATCAAATAAAATAGACTTTAAAATAATGTTACAAGAGACAAGGAAGGACACTACATAATGATCAAGGTAACGATCCAAGAAGAAGATATAACATTATAAATATATATGCACCCAACATAGGAGCACCTCAATACATAAGGCAACTGCTAACAGCTATAAAAGAGAAAATCGACAGCAACACAATAATAGTGGGGGGCTTTAACACCTCACTTACACCAATGGGCAGATGATCCAAAATGAAAATAAATAAGGAAACAGAAGCTTTAAATGACACAAAAGACCAGATAGCATTAATTGATATTTATAGGACATTCCATCCAAAAACAGCAGATTACACTTTCTTCTCAAGTGCGCACGAACATTCTCCAGGATACATCACATATCGGGTCACAAATCAAGCCTCAGTAAATTTAAGAAAATTGAAGTCATATCAAGCATCTTTTCTGACCACAACACTATGAGATTAGAAATGAATTAAAGGGGAAAAAACCGTAAAAAACACAAACACATTGAGGCTAAACAATACGTTACTAAATAACCAAGAGATCACTGAAGAAATCAAAGAGGAAATCAAAAAATACCTAGAGACAAATGACAATGAAAACACGACAATCCAAAACCTATGGGATGCAGCAAAAGCAGTTCTAAGAAGGAAGTTTATAGCTATACAAGCCAACCTCAAGAAACAAGAAAAATCTCAAGTAAACAATCTAACCTTACACTCAAAGGAACTAGAGAAAGAAGAACAAACAAAACCCAGAGTTAGCAGAAGGAAAGAAATCATAAAAATCAGAGCAGAAATAAATGAAATAGAAACAAAGAAAACAACAGTAAAGATCCAATAAAACTAAAAGCTGGTTCTTTGAGATGATAAACAAAATTGATAAACCATTAACCAGACTCATCAAGAAAAAGAGGGAGAGGACTCAAATCAATAAAATTAGAAATGAAAAAGGAGAAGTTACAACAGACACCGCAGAAATACAAAGCATCCTAAGAGACTACTACAAGCAACTCTATGCCAATAAAATGGACAACCTGGAAGAAATGGACAAATTCTTAGAAAGGTATAACCTTCCAAGACTGAACCAGGAAGAAATAGAAAATATGAACAGACCAATCACAAGTAATGAAATTGAAACTGTGATTAAAAATCTTCCAACATGGGCTTCCCTGATGGCACAGTGGTTGAGAGTCCACCTGCTGATGCAGGGGATAAGGGTTCGTGCCCCGGTCCGGGAAGATCCCATGCCACAGAGCAGCTGGGACCGTGAGCTATGGCCGCTGAGCCTGTGCGTTCGGAGCCTGTGCTCTGCAATGGGAGAGGCCACAACAGTGAGAGGCCCATGTACCGAAAAAAAATAAAAAAAAATCTTCCAACAAACCAAAGTCCAGGACCAGACGGCTTCACAGGTGAATTCTATCAAACGTTTAGAGAAGAGTTAACATCCATCCTTCTCATACTTTTCCAAAAAACTGCAGAGGAAGGAGCACTCCCAAACTCATTCTACGAGGCCACCATCACCCCGATACGAAAACCAGACAAAGATACCACAAAAAAAGAAAATTACAGACCAATATCACTGATGAATATAGATGCAAAAATCCTCAACAAAATACCAGCAAACAGAATCCAACAACACATTAAAAGGATCATACACCACAATCATGTGGGATTTATCCCAGGGATGCAAGGATCCTTCAATATACGCAAATCAATCAATGGGATACACCATATAAACAAACTGAAGAACAAAAACCATATGATCATCTCAGTAGATGCAGAAAAAGCTTTTGACAAAATTCAACACCCATTTATGATAAAAACTCTCCCGAAAGTGGGCATAGAGGGAACCTACCTCAACATAATAAAGGTCATATATGACAAACCCACAGCAAACATCATTCTCAATGGTGAAAAACCGAAAGCATTTCCTCTAAGATCAAGAACGAGACAAGGATGTCCACTCTCACCACTATTATTCAACATAGTTTTGGAAGTCCTAACCATGGCAATCAGAGAAGAAAAAGAAATAAAAGGAATACAAATTGGAAAAGAAGAAGTAAACTGTCACTGTCTGCAGATGACATGATACTATAAATACAGAATCCTAAAAATGCCACCAGAAAAATACTAGAGCTCATCAATAAATTTGGTAAAGTTGCAGGATAGAAATTAATGCACAGAAATCTCTTGCATTCGTATACACTAATGATGAAAAATCTGAAAGAGAAATTATGGAAACACCCCCATTTACCACTGCAACAAAAAGAATAAAATACCTAGGAATTAACCTACCTAGGGAGGCAAAAGACCTGTATACAGAAAACTATAAGACACTGATGAAAGAAATTAAAGATGATACCAACAGATGGAGAGATACAGCATGTTCTTGGACTGGAAGAATCAATAGTGAAAATGACTATACTACCCAAAGCAATCTACAGATTCAATGCAATCCCTATCAAATTACCAATGGCACTTTTTACGGAACTACAACAAATCATCTTAAAATTTGTATAGAGACACAAAAGACCCCAAATAGCCAAAGCAGTCTTGAGGGGAAAAAACGGAGCTGGAGGAATCAGACTCCCTGACCTCAGACTATACTACAAAGCTACAGCAATCAAGACAATATGTACTGGCACAAAAACAGAAATACAGATCAATGGAACACGATAGAAAGCCCAGAGATAAACCCACGCAACTATGGTCAACTAATCTATGACAAAGGAGGCAAAGATATACGATGGAGAAAAGACAGTCTCTTCAGTAAGGGGTGCTGGGAAAACTGGACAGCTACATGTCAAAGAATGAAATTAGAACATTTCCTAACACCATACACAAAAATAAACTCAAAATGGATTCGAGATGTAAATGTAAGACCTGACACTATAAAACTCTTAGAGGAAGACATAGGAAGAACGCTCTTTGACATAAATCACAGCAAGATCTTTTTTGATCCACCTCCTAGAGTAATGGAAATAAAAACAAAAATAAACAAATGGGACCTAATGAAACTTCAAAGCTTTTGCACAGCAAAGGAAACCATAAATACGAAAAGACAACCCTCAGAATGGGAGAAAATATTTGCAAACAAATCAACAGACAAAGGATTAATCCCCAAAATATATAAACAGCTCATGCAGCTCAATATTAAAGAAACAAACAACCCAATCCCAAAATGGGCAGAAGACCTAAATAGACATTTCTCCAAAGAAGACACGCAGATGGCCAAGAAGCACATGAAAAGCTGCTCAACATCACTAATTATTAGAGAAATGCAAATCAAAACTTCAATGAGGTATCACCTCACACCAGTCAGAATGGGCATCATCAGAAAATCTACAAACAACAAATGCTGGAGAGGGTGTGGAGAAAAGGGAACCCTCTTGCACTGTTGGTGGGAATGTAAATTGATACAGCCACTATGGAGAACAGTATGGAGGTTCCTTAAAAAAGTAAAAATAGATTTACCATATGATCCAGCAATCCCACTACTGGGTATATACCCAGAGAAAACCATAATTCAAAAAGACACATGCACCCCAATGTTCACTGCAGCACTATTTACAATAGCCAGGTCATGGAAGCAACCTAAATGCCCATCGACAGATGAATGAATAAAGAAGATGTGGTACATATATACAATGGAATATTACTGAGCCATAAGAAGGAACGAAATTGAGTCATTTGTTGAGACGTGGACGGATCTAGAGAGTGTCATACAGAGTGAAGTAAGTCAGAAAGAGAAAAACAAAGATCATATATTAATGCATGTATGTGGAACCTAGAAAAATGGTACAGATGAGCCAGTTTGCAGGGCAGAAGTTGAGACACAGATGTAGAGAACAGACATATGGACACCAAGTGAGGAAAACCGCCATGGGGGATGGTGGGGATGGTGTTGTGCTGAATTGGGCGATTGGGATTGACATGTATACACTGATGTGTATAAAATTGATGACTAATAAGAACCTGCAGTATAAAAAACAATGCAAAAAAAAAAGATAGGTGGAAAGATAAAGTTCATGAATTCTCCCAGAAATATTATACAGAGAAATTAAAATTGAAAGTCAAAGAAATCAGAGAGTCAAGATAAATGATCTGACATCCAAAATAATAAATTTCAAAAGAAAATCCCATAAAACATAAAAAGACACTTTACCAAAGAAATAATATAAGAAACATTCCTAGAACTGAAGGACTTGTGTTTCCAGGCAAAAAGGGCTCACAGAGTTTATTGCCCAATGAAAGAAAAGAAAAAGACTCACACCAAGGTATATCATCAGAAAATTTCAGATTCATTGAATAAAGGGAAGATCCTAAAACACTAAACACTTCCAGAGATAAAACAACAGATCACACATAAAGAACTGAGAATCAGAATGGCATTGGATTTCTCAAAAAAACACTGGAAGCTAGAAATAAATGAAGAAATGCTTTTGAAATTTTGAGGAAAAATAATTTCCAACCTGGGATGTGTTACCCAGATAAATTATTTTTTTTAAAGATTTATTATTTATTTATTTTATTAATATATATATTTTTTTGGCTGTGTTGGGTCTTATCTGCAGCACATGGGATCCTCGTTGAGGCACGCGGGATCTTTCATTACGGTGCGCGGGCTCCTCGTTGGAGTGCACGGGCTCCTCGCTGGAGTGTGCGAGCTCAGTAGTTGCTGCACGTGGGATCTTAGTTGCCCTGCGGCATGTGGGATCTTAGTTCCCTGACCAGGGATCAAAGCCACGTCCCCTGCACTGCAAGGCAGATCCCTTACCACTGGACCGCCAGTGAAGTCCCTACCCAGCTAAATTACTAATCAAATGTAAGAAGGGAATAAAGATATTTTCAGACGTGCGAAGTTTCAAAGTATTTCCCTGTTATGCATCCTTTTTCAAGAAGCTATTAGGAGATGTGTTCCACCAAAATAAGAGAATAATCAACAGGTGGGAAGACATGGGATCCAGAAGACAGGAAATCCAAAACGGGTGGGAGACAAAGGAAGTTCTAGGGTGATGGAAAAGCAAGTCCACGGTGACAGCAGAGAAGCAGGCCTAGAAAGAAGTCCAAATTGAAGCAGAAAAATAAAAGGCTTCAAAACAGAAAGTGAGTGAGATAACAAGAGAAAGGAAATCCTAGATTACCTAGTGTGTTTGAATACGTGGAGAGATGGTTCATATACTTGTCAGAGATTTGTTTGTGGTAAATGAAAATTAAGCAAATAAAAAACAGAGCAATTAACTCCAGCAAAACCAAAATACATAAGAAAGAAAAATGTAAGTATAGTATTACAGGCAAAGAGAACAAGGAATTAGTAAATAATACCAAAACAGTCCTAATAATGTAAATGAATATTTATTAAATCCCAAATTGTGATTTAACAATACTGGGGTGTCATGGGGAGGCAAAGTTGGTATATGTCTGGGTATGCGTGTGGAAGGAGTAGTGTAGTATTATATGTTTAGATTCCATAGTAAATAATGTCTCAAATTTAAAAATAAAGAAAGAATACTATATAGAAATACAGTGCTAAGTAATGAAAAAAACAGCTTAAGATTTCAAAATGGGAAACAAGAAATTAGGTGTGGAGCAAAGAAAGTGGGGCTGTTTTTTGGTATAAGCCTTGTAATATTTAGTTTCATTAGTCTTTGTACACTTATTATTTTGATAAAAATAACAAATTAGAAAAAGAAACGGATCATTTTTACCTGTCCAAGTTCTTCATTCAGATCAGAAGTATTGACTTGAGCTTTCTGATCTGATTCTTCATGATAGAGATCAAGATCCCAGCCAATAAAAAATGATCCAAGAAATTTCTGCATTTCAACTGTCACATATAATGAAATTGGAATGATGAAATTGTAGAGTACCAAAAAAGCAAGGAAGTCTGAAATAAATTTCAGAATCTAGGGGAAAAAAATGATTGCTTGATAAGACAAAAATATGAAGGAAATTATCGGATAGTTTCATATCTCAACAGACCATCAACTATATTCTGAAGCAGAAAAGTCTCATGAAATGAAATTCATTTACTGAACTGTCTTTTTAATAGATTTCCTTTGGTTATTTTATTGCTCATTAGAATCTTGAACAAATTAAAAGAAGAAAGGTTAGAACCAAATCACTTAATTTGCTACTTTTTAGAAGCTACCAGAAAAGCCTGGTGTGACTGAAATTACTTACGACAAAATTATAATTAGAACCTCTGTAGCATACTTACCATTCTATTTCTACACATCAAAATCACAGATAACTAAAAACTGACGGTAATTTTAAAAATGTAAAATAATTGCTAGGCGAGAACTGCTAGAAATTAAAACTCTCAATTACAGATTACACAGGAATAGCCTACTTCAATGGCATAGCAGTTCCACATTTTAAAATGTGTTCTGTAAAAGATAAAATACCTAATTGTAAATGATACTGAAAATATGTTCCTGTGATTATCTGCTTTTTGGTCTCTTGACATTCAAACTTATCTTCCAATATTTGCACTTTAATCTAAAGTGAAATTTGGAGAACAATTTACCAAAACTGCACGTTAACTTCTCCTGGTAGTCCATATTTACTCAGTTTAAAACTTTTTATGACATAATTCGTATTTACTTCATACCACCAATATATTGACAGTAAGACTCCTTGAATTATTCTGATAGAATTGAAAATTCTATTTACATACAGTAAGTAGAATAAAATTTTCAATTTGTATTACTGAAGTGGAATGCCAATACAGATGACTTAAATGTCTGTGATCTCTTTTAATTATTCAAGTCATGCCATAGGGAATATAACTGCTTATGCTGTAAAATGTAAAAAGCATACCAGTACAAACATGCTGGCTACTCTTCACGTGCAATAACCTTCTGTCACCCTTCAATAGTGATAGTTTTAGGGATGACAGTGGTCACTCCTATCAGAAGTCACTACCAAAGCATTAAAAGAACTAAAATTTCCAAAGAGTAAAATTTTCTTTGTAACAGAGTCAAGAACACCATGAAGTACCTTACTACTATTTCTTTGATGTTCTGTTTTTTGGTTATACCAAGGTTCATCCCATTTTTCTTCAGCTTGCCAAGTATATTTCAAGATAGTACTGATGATGGCTTCAGAAATAAGGATTATTAGATAAATTATCAAAAATGTATTCATTGACCTGAAATGAAGAAAGAGAATATAAAATGTATCAATTATATGTTATTATACTCATTTGTTTGGAAATTAACATTGGTATTAAATAAGATACTAAATATCAGTATATAAGATATGTAGCTATTTAAAGGACACAGTCTTTGTTTTTAAGAAATGACCATTCAATTCAATCCATTTACTAGAAATAAAAGAACAGATACATAAGATTACAAGCATATTTACTATAGTTAACTACTGTTCAAAATGCTTACAGTGGGCTTCTCTTGTGGTGCAGTGGTTAAGAATCCACCTGCCAACACAGGGACATGGGTTTGAGCCCTGGTCCAGGAAGATCCCACATGCTGCGGAGCAACTAAGCCCATGTGTGCCACAACTACTGAGCCTGCACTCTAGAGCCCACGAGCCACAACTACTGAGCCCGTGTGCCACAATTACTGAAGCCTGTGCGCCTAGAACCCATGCTCCGCAACAAGAGAAGCCACTGCAATGAGAAGCCTTCGCACAGCAATGAAGAGTAGCCCCCGCTCGCCACAACTAGAGAAAGCCTGCACACAGCAACGAAGACCCAATGCAGCCAAAAATAAATAAATAAATAATTTAAAAAAAAAAAAAAAAAAGAAGAGCACATTTCTGCATTAGCGTGTCCCAGGAAGAAGAGAGACATGAGAGGCAACGCTGAGTCATCCCAGCTCCTCCCGGCAGAGCTCAGCTGACCCTCAGCCAATCCACTCATCTGTGACAATGAATGGAAGTGAATGAGCTGTATGACAGTTTATGATGCAGCAACTTGGTGGCAGTAGCTCACTGGTACACCCTCTATGTTGGTACTTCCCCTCAGCCAATAAACCTGCCTAAGTCTCCCATTAGGCAGGGAGACTCCCAAAAGTCTTTTCTTTGGGGGGAAAAAAAATTGAAATCTTGCCATCTGTGACAACATGGATGAATCTAGAGGTTATTATGCTAAGTCAGACAGAAAAAGACAAATACCCTATGATCTCACTTATATGTGGAATCTAGAAAAACAAAACAGGGGCTTCCCTGGTGGTCCAGTGGTTAAGACTCTGCTTTCCAATGCAGGGGGTGTGGGTTCGATCCCTGGTCAGGGAGCTAAGAACACACACACAGTCCCTGGTTGGGACGCTAAGATCCCACATGCCGTAAAAAATCCAAAAACATAAAACAGAAGCAACATTGTAACGAATTCAATAAAGACTTTCAAAAATGGTCCGCATCAAAAAAATAAATAAATAAAAATTTTAAAAATTAAAAAACAAAACAAAATGAAAACAGACTCATAGATACAAATAGGTGGTTGCTTGCTGGTATTGGGGGGATGGGTAAAATAGGTGAAAGGGGTTAAGAGGTATAAACCTTGGGTTATAAAATAAGTAAGCCATGAGAATGTAATATATAGCATAAAGAATATGGTCAATATTATTGCAATAACTTTGTATGGGGCCAGACAATTACTAGACTTACTGTGGTCAACATTTCATAATGTATGCAAATGTCAAATCACTATGTACTACACCTGAAACTAACATAATATTTTACGTCAACTATATTTCAATAAATTAAAATTAAATAAAAATGAGAAACCATCCCTATCTTCAAGGATACCGTCGTTTGTTGACTTGAAATATATATTTTTATATACATATTTTATACATATAGAATAATATACATAGCAATAGTCATACTGGGACTTCCATGGTGGCTCAGTGGTTAAGACTCTGCGCTCCCAATGCAGGGGGCCTGGGGTTTGATCCCTGGTCAGGGAACTAGATCCCACATGCATGCCACAACTAAGAGTTCACATGTTGCAACTAAGAGCCCTCAAGCGACAACTAAGGACCTGCCTGCTTCAACTAAGACCCAGTGCAAGAAAATAAATTAATTTTTAAAAAGTCCTATTTATGTGTAAATAAATGAAAATAGTTTTCTTACTTTTCTACTGCAGATCGTTTCTGTGATTTGCTCTTGTAATTTAATGCCATCTTAGTTTCCATTCCAGTATACACAGCAACACCTGCAAAACAAAACAGTCTTAAGATAAACCTCTACCATGTTTCACAAAAGAAAGGTACTCACTAGCACGAAAGAAAATCTAAGAAACTGTATCATCTGAGAGTTGTCAGAATTTGGCTTTCCTTTAAGTCTTTCTGGAGTTTTTTTTAAAAGGCTTTCCAAGTGCAATTTTGGGAAATTCCAGTCATTCAACCGGTTGAATGAGGAAGGCATGTGGGTTCTGTTCCTGAATTATAACTGGGATATCTGAATGAAAGAGGTATTATTTGAGTTGGAATTGATGGAGGAAAGAATTCGGAAAGATAAAGAAGGCAGGGAAGGCCATTATAGACAGAGCAAACAGTGTTAACAAAGAGAAATAGAAAAGCGCTTTCTGTTAGGCTGTAACAATGGATTGGCGTCAGTTTGAAAGACCTTGAATGCCAGAATCTGGAGTCTAGACATAATCTCATAAGCACTGGAAAGATAATATGGAATGTCAGAGTAAATGAAATAAACACAAGGAAAGTGCTATTTTAAAAATATGTGCGTACGTGAATGACTGAGATGAGAATGACAGTAATAAGGGGACTAAAACTGGGGTAAGACCAGTCTTATTAAAAAACTCTGGAGTTAGAGCTTGGTTTGAAGCAAGCTAGCTCTGCCACTTATTAGTTCTGTGACCTTGAGTAAGTTATCTAATCTTTCTGAGTCTCAATTTCCCCATCTTTAAATGGGAAAAATACCTAATAAAACTGGTATGAGAGTTGTGTGACAGATTAGCAAAATGCCTAGAAACGGAAAGACGATCAATAACTGGAATTTTCACTATTGGAATTATCCTTCCAAGGCAGGGATTACAACTCAAATGATAAAGGGCACCAAAATTATAGAAATGTGAGAAATGAGACGAAATGGTACAACACAGAGAGGTGATGCTGAGGAAAACAATAGCAGACCCATTTAAAGGCATTCAAATACACGTTTCCTAAATTTTAAGAGTGTGAAAGGTGTTACTGCTAGAGAGGTATTAAAATACAGCATTACACGAGAGGGCCTAAAAGCCCTGGAGGTTTTCTCTGGCTTCTGCCATTAAAACTTTACTATGGTCCCCTTTTTAAAATTGTGGTAAAATACACATAACATACAGTTTGCCTTTTTAATACAATTCAGTGGCACTTAGTTACATTCACAATGCTGTGCAACCATCCTATCCAAGTTGAGAATATTTCATCACCCGCCCCCCCGCCAAAAAAACCCTGTACCCATTAAACAATCATTCCCAATTCCCCTCCACTCCCCAGATGCTGGGAACCACTGATCTACTTTCTGTCTCTATGAATCTGCCTGTTTTGGGTATTTTAAGTATAAATGAAATCATACAATATGTGGCCTTTTGTGTTTGACTTCGTTCACTCAGCATAATGTTTTCAAAGTTTATATATGTTGTAGCATGTATCAGTACTTCATTTCTTATGGATGAATAATATTTCATTACTTGGATATCCTACACTTTGTTTATCCATTCATTAGTTGGTAGACATTTGGGCAGTTTCTACCCTTTGGCTATTGTGAACAGTGCTGCTATGAACATTCTCATACAAGCCTTTGTTTGAGCACCTGTCTTCTTCAATTCTTTAGGGTATATAGCTAGAAGCAGAATTGCTGAGTGATACAGTAATTCTATGTTTAACTTATTGAGGAATTGCCAAACTATTTTCCACAGCAGCTGCAACATTCTACACTCCCACCAGCAATGTATGAGGGTTCCAGTCTCTCCACATTTTTGCCATACTAGTTATATTCCTTTTTTAAAAATATATGGAATTCTTTATCAGAGAGCCTAATACTGAGAGATAAGATACAGTACAGTTAACAGGAAAGAAGAGGCTGAAGAAGAAGAGCTCAAAAGCTGTAAATATTCAGTGAATAACACAAGCTGGCCAGAATATGACAGGCCATTCCTGAAAGGCGAGGAGCCAGTTGACAGCTACAGGTTATCACTGACTTCACAATTTACCTAGAGTTGACTCAGAGCATAATGAATTAGTTTAGCTCGACAATGCAAGAGCACTATTTATTCATCCTTTTGATCCAGTCAGTGTATGTTCCAACAGTATCTGTTATATAGTCACAGATCAATAAGAATTCATTGAATGAATAAACGGATGAACAAATGAGTCAGCAGTTTTAACAATCCAATCTAAGAATAATCATAATGGAATTTTATACAAGTGGTTTACTGCACCAAGGTGTCAGAGTATATAGTTCTCAACACCATTAACAGAAGTGCCAGAATTATCTTAGCATGGAGTATTCACGAAGAAAATATAAGAGCAAGGTTCTATATTACTCAAAAATAGTAATTAACAAAAAATATAACACAAAATTATATTAATACAATCTTTGAAAGAAAATTATCATAGACAATACATTATCTAACCAAAAGACCACAAATACTGTGCTTTTAAAAATACTTCATATAAAGCATCAAAACGAATCTATAATTTAAAATTTCAATATATACAAACCAAAAATTTCTTTTGTGTTTTTTAATCTGGCTCCGCGAAGCAAGAGACTCTCTGGCCCCAGAGGTCTAGGGAAAAAATAACCAAAATCATTGAATATATTAAAATTTCAATTAAATTTTAAAATGGCATCTTTAGCAGACAGAAGGTACTTCAGCTATACTTATAACAATGCTTTCATATAAAACCAAAATCTCTGCTACTGTAAAGCTGTCGAGGTCAATCATGCTGCTAGTTACCATAACAACAAATATCTGCCTTAGCATTTCAGTCATTTTAAGATCAATGGCTCAGAAATAAGACTATGCCTGTAGATAAAATCACAAAGCCACTTGTTTCCGAAGTTTAAACATAAAACTCAACAAAACCAAAAATTAAGCAATGATTTTAAAATGTTTTACAGAAGATAAAATTTTGAGCAAAATCAATTAACATTTTTCAAAGGGAAAATACAGAATTAAAATGCAGTGTAAACAGGTTGTGTGAAGAATAAAATGCAAAATAAACATAAATTGTAGTATGATTTGTATATAACTGCATGAGTTCTGCACAATTAAAATTATACTAGGTTATAGAAGATAACATAGTAAGTGAGTTAGTACTTTTTCTAGGCAAGATCAACACTACAACTTGACTACTTGCATTGCATACTTCTTGGAGCACAGGTCTTCTTGCTGTTTGAATTTCTCTCCATAAAGGAGATATAAAACGAGAAGAAATAACTAGAAAGGAAAATTGTATTTTCTTAGTGATAGCAAATGATAAGACTCTGGTATGGATAAGTAAAAAAGCCTTGATTTTGTTGATATTCCTTATCATAAGGCTTTTCTGAAATATACATACACAGTTATCCAAATCAAACAGAATCTGAACCAATTCTAAAGAGGTCTGCAAACCTAAACACTTTAAAAAAATAATCCAATGAACACAGTGGAGGGGGGGCCAGGTGTTTGGGCTATGGTTAACAAGTATGGTTTTATTATATAGTCGTATCTGGAGCACCCTGAATGGATATTCCAAAATCAATTATTCAGGAGCCATATTATAGCTCTTTTCTACTTGGTTTTGGTTCCAGCAATGAATAGAAAAACTTTGAGCTCATGTTGGCATATAAAATTGGGATATAATGATAGAAAGCTTCAAATTAAAAGATAATTCATCAGTTCACTCTGGTTGCTTTAGCAAAGAACATGGCTCTCTTTTTTTTTAAAACCATTCTACCTGCTAAGGTAACATAATTGATCTTTTCCTTTACCAGCCACAATATCTTAATGCAATCCATACCACGTATCCACACATGCATCCCAATATGTCACTGTAGAAATCAAAATAAAACCCAGTCACTGTTATTCAGCAGGGGTCCTACACTTAAAAAGACCTTGTTACAGTTTATTGAACGTGCTCCTGTGTTGACTTTTATTAAAAGTGTGAATCCATGCTGATGCATATTTTTGGTAGCTTGTCTTGAGGATTTCATTTTTAAAAATTCTCAACTCTTTGTCAGTGACTTATTTCACGCAGTCAGTATAAACTGAACGTCTCCAGAAAAGAGGTGGAGTGCTAAGTTAACTAGAAGTTCAAGGGCTGATTCCAAGGTTTTTTCTAAATTCAGCTTTGTGGTCATGAGTAACAATGTAATCTCACCCTATCAGAAAATCTTTGAAATGACCCAAAGCCTTTCATGTAGGTACCAGAAATTAACCTGAATATTGAGGGAAAACAAATCAAAACCAACCAACCAAATAACCAATCAGAAGAGTATATAAGAAGTTACTGGCCAATAAATACTCTAGTTTGTAAGGAATGATCTTGAAGTGAAGAAGACCATAATATTTTTATTTGTTAAACATTACATAAGACATTTTTTGTATTAGAGACTGATGTGGTGGTACGTTTAGATGTGTAAGGATCTGGATAGGGACCACTATGATTCCTTTATGTTACGACCCAATATATCAGACAAACAAATAACGAGTACACAAATAATCTTACTAAATGTTTTTGATGTCATTTCCTGGCATTTGCTTCATCCTCATCTCATCTGCTGCTGCTAGAAATTACTAGAAGATGAAATGCTAAACGTTTTTAAATTAACCCTTTCCCATGATATGCTGCTTACTTATCTAATCTCCCTTTAACTTGATTTTAGTCCCTCCCCCAAGCAATTCTCACTTAAAAGCGATTGGATAATACAAATTTATTCTTACCTTACAATTTCTTCCATTTGTTGAGTTATTATCATTCGTCCCATGAATCTATCAAAGAATTCACTATGTTACAAAAAAACTAATGAATGATACATTACTTATGACATCAATGGGTGGAAAATTTTAAGACAGTTCTGGCACTATTCTTAGATATGAAACAAAACCAACCTTTTGCTTATATGAATGGTCCAATATTCATGTTAGAAATTACAAAGGTAAATCAGTCATTAAGCTTTAAAAAATTAATATTCTTAGAGTCCCAGGGAGCGATCAGTGGTGCTGTTTGCCTTATCATCCTCTTCTGCGTCACCCCTTTCCCGTTCCTGAACTGTTTTGTGGAGGAGCAGTGTAAAGCCTTCCCTCACTACGCAGTGTGCTCCTTGCCATCTGCTGCATAACCTTCCTGGGCTTCGCAGATGATGTACTGAATCTGCACTGGCGCTATAAGCTGCTGCTGCTGCCCACAGCTGCCTCACACTACTTCTCCTCATGGTCTATTTCACCAACTTTGGCAACACGACCTTTTTGGTACCCAAGACTTCTGCCCAATTCTTGGCCTGCATCTAGACTTGGGGATCCTGTACTATGTCTACATGGGGCTGCTGGCAGCGTTCTGTACATGACCCACGTCAACTTGCTACTTAAAGTCTTTGGGCCCATGCATTAGAGAAACCTCACTCTGTTCCTGCTGCTGCTACATGTCATGCGCAGTGTTGTCACCTTCTCCAATGGGTACCAGCTTGTCCAACTCTTCTGTGATGTCTGAGTCCCCTAATCCACTGCCCTTTGCTTCACAGCCTCCAGGGTTCCTGACTCAGGCTGACCTCTTCTGGATCAAGACTGCCTCTGGGCTCAGGCCTCTCCCACCCTTCATTCTCCTTCAGATTTTGTACTCAACATTTCCTTTCCCCTGTGATAATTGACATCCTGGGCTTTTCTTGCCCTCTAATGACTACTGATTGGACTTTGCCTATGGCTTTCTTCAACTTGCCACTCTCCCCTCTCCGTCCCATCTCTGCGCCCTTCTAAGGTGGGATACTGTAGCTTTTATGCAGTTACCCACAACTCTGACACTCAAGGAATATGTTGGGCCTGGGGATAGAGGACACAGGCTCCTGGCTGGGGATAAGGACACAGGCTCAAAGATGACTTGACATTTGACTATAAATTAAGTATTCTGGTGATTAAGAGCAGACTGGGGGCGCCAGGTGTTCCAAATGGTGACAAGAAAGTATTGTCTTTAAAAAATATATATATATATTCTTGCCATCTCTACTCCAGCTATAAGCAAACTAATGAATGAAAAAATGTTTTCAAAATGGCAATGCAAATGTAATATATTATTATGATTATCAGTTTGGTCATGATGAGACTTTATAATTGCTACACAGAGATGCATATATTATTTAGCCAACAATGAATGCTCATACATTTTTATCACAGTTTACTAAATAAAGACTCCGGTAACCAGAATCATTCATTCACTCATTCACATACGTATTCATGCACTCATTTATCCAACAAATATTCACTGAGCAACTACTATGTGTGAATTATGTGCGGAGGGTAGAGTAGTAAGTAAAAAAACTATTAGTGACCTCCAGAGCTTCTTTAACTTTTGGTTTCCTGAAATTTAGAGTAAGTGGCCTGTTGTTATAATGAATTTTCATAGCCTGGCCTTTTAGTTCCAATTTCCACTACCAAAACAGCTCCATAGCACAAAGTCAACTCAAGTGAAAAATTACTTTCTATAATAGTGAGAGGTAAATTCTGAGTTGAAGCAAATTCTGGGCAGAGCCCCATGTTACTCATTTAACTATGCAAAGAAGTATTAAGCATGACTTTCCAAATGTCCCCTGTTATCCCTCCTGTTTCCAGGTTACAGATGCTTTACCCCTTGTAGACTTTGGATTCATTATTTCTCGCTAATCTCTTACTTCTTATTCCTTCAGCCTCCTGTATCAGGGAGAAGCACTGCTTTTTTTTTTTTTTTTTTTTTTTTTTTTTTTTTTTGCTGTGCCGCGTGGCATGCGGGATCTTAGTTCCCCAACCAGGGATTGAACCCATGCCCCCTGCAGTGAAAGCATGGAGTCTTAACCACTGGACCGCCAGGGAAGTCCTGCTTTTTAATTATCTCCACTTAACGGAATTTTATGTAGCTCTGGTTTGAGCCTCAAACTTTGGATTTAGATTCAAAGAGCCAATTCAGCTGGTGACTCCTAGGCCCTGTTCAGAGATAATGTGTGGTCAGTCTTTCGATTTTCCTGAGCCAAATGGCAACAAGAGACCTGTTCTCCTTCATTTTATCTGTCCCGTTATCCTTGATTCTAAAGCACTTCTTGTATTTGTTCATGCCAGTACCATGCTGGATTAGCTCATTCTGCACTTTCCATAGCCCTTTCTCCAAACCCACACTATGATTTGTTTCAAAATGGAAAAGAGCTTTATTATTCTTTACTGATTATAAAGACTGAATACACTCAAATACACATACTTTATAAAATGATTCAGACGATGTAAAAAGACGACAAAAAGGGAACAACAATCATCAGTAACCCCACTACTCAAATAAAACATTATTAATATTTTGAGGTATGTTTTCCAGGCTCTTTTTCCATGCACATATAAATATGTATGTATCTTAAAAACAAAAATGGGATCATATCATAAATACTGTTGGTAATATTTTCTCCCCACTTAACATGTCCTGTGAAAAATACAGATTCAGGGCTTCCCTGGTGGCGCAGTGGTTGAGAGTCCGCCTGCCGATGCAGGGGACACGGGTTCGTGCCCTGGTCCGGGAAGACCCCACATGCCGCGGAGCGGTTAGGCCCGTGAGCCATGGCCGCTGAGCCTGCGCTCCGCAACAGGAGAGGCCACAACAGTGAGAGGCCCGTGTACCGCAAAAAAAAAAAAAACAAAAAAACAGATCCACATCATTACTTTTAATGGCCACACATAGCATTGTATTTTGGGGTCACTGCATAATTTATTTAAGTAATTCACTACTGACAGAAGCTTAGGTTTTTTCCCAACTTAATGGATAGTCTAAACAATACAGCCCCAAACAAGCCAGTGTACATATCTTTTCACATTTGCATTAAGATATATTTCTTTTTTGCAGTATGTGGGCCTCTCACTGTTGTGGCCTCTCCCGTTGCGGAGCACAGGATCTGGACACACAGGCTCAGCGGCCATGGCTCACAGGCCTAGCCGCTCCGCGGCATGTGGGATCTTCCCAGACTGGGGCACGAACCCATGTCCCCTGCATCAGCAGGCGGACTCTCAACCATTGCACAACCAGGGAAGCCCAAGATATATTTCTAAAAGCAGAATATCATTATTTTGTTAGGAAAAATTCCTAGAAGTAGAACTGATGAGTTGGAGTCTACAAAAAATAAAGAGAATAGAAAGAATTAAAAAGAAAGAACAAAAAGGGCAAAGAAGCCAAGGAAAGAGACTATGGAGAATACTGTGAAATAGGCACCTGCTAGAGGCTGTACCTAAACAGAAGACTCTCCTAGTTTTTATTTCTTCCAGTGGTTGGGCAGAGATAATTTCTTAACCGTACTCTAGCCTCTCCTCAATAAGCTGTTAGAGTTTTCTAAAAGGAAATAATGTGGACTTCCCTGGTGGCGCAGTGGTTAAGAATCCACTTGCCAATGCAGGGGACAAGGGTTTGAGCCCTGGTCCGGGAAGATTCCATATGCGGCAGAGCAACTAAGCCCGTGCACCACAACTACCCGTGCACCACAACTACTGAGCCTACGCTCTAGAGCCTGTGGACCACAACTACTGAGAGTGCGCTCTAGAGCCCACCAGCCACAACTACTGAAGCCCGTGCACCTAGAGCCCGTGCTCTGCAACAAGAGAAGCCACCGCAATGAGAAGCCCGTGCACCACAACGAAGAATAGCCCTCGCTCGCCGCAACTAGAGAAAAGCCCGTGTGCAGCAACAAAGACCCAATACAGCCAAAATTAAGTAAGTAAATAAATAAATTTATTTAAAGACAAATAAAAAGGGAAATAATGTAACCACTGTTAACTAATAGGTAACTGGGAAGGAACTGACAATATTCAAAGGAGAAAAATTAATAAACACAGAAAAATGTTCAGCCTTTCTTTTTTTTCTTTCCTTCCTTTTTTTTCTTGGCCGTGCTGCATGGCTTGCAGGATCTTAGTTCCCCAACCAGCGACTGAACTCAGACCCCGGGAGTGAAAGCGCCGAGTCCTAACCGCTGGACTGCCGGGGAACTCCCTGCTCAGCCTTTTTAGTAAAACAATAAATTAAAACTAGTTTTAAAACTATAAAACTATTATCTACAAAATCAGCAAAAATTTTAAAACTATAATACTTAATACTAGGGACTTCCCTGGTGGCACAGTGGTTAAGAATCTGCCTGCCAATGCAGGGGACACGGGTTTGAGCCCTGGTCTGGGAAGATCCCACATGCTGCAGAGCAACTAAGCCTGTGCGCCACAACTACTGAGCCTGTGTGCCACAACTACTGAAGCCTGTGCACCTACGGCCTGTGCTTTGCAACAAGAGAAGCCATCGTAATGAGAAGCCCACACACTGCAACGAAGAGCAGCCCGCACTCACTGCAACTAGAGAAAGCCCGCGCACAGCAACGAAGCCCCAACGCAGCCAAAAATAAATAAATAAATTGTAAAAAACACGAAAAACAAACCTTCATACTTGTAACATTTTGAAACAATAATAAGCCTCATAAACTTATACTTAGCTCATAGCAATAAAAATTAATCCAATGTTTTTGGAAAGTAACGTGTCAGTAGGTTTAATAAAGGCCAAATTCGATTAGGGTTTTAATCTAATAATTCCACTTTTGCAGGTCTGTCTGTTCTTAGGGAATAATCTAGTATTAGATTATTAACTCTAGGAGTCAGGAGCTATCACTGTTTCCTTACTGCTGCATTCCCAGTATCTAGCACTATGCCTCAGTTATTGGAGGCACTCAATATATGATGAATAAATGGGCAATAAAAATGTTCTCAAATCCTTTGATTAAGTAATACTGTGGAACTCTTATCATTCATTTACTCATTCAACAGATATTTATTGAGTGTCTATTCTGTTCTAGGTATTTCAATTCAATAGTTAAGTGAATTGTAACACACACAAATCTTAGTTGCATATATCACAGAATTCAATAAAAGGAAAAACTTAAGTGCATAAAATTAAGTCCATAAAGATATTTATTCTTTTCAACTGTCAACAAACATGTAGTAAGGCCTCCTATATGCCAGATCTGTTCTAGGTGCTTGGGATACATCAGTGAACAAAACACACAAAGATGTCTGTCCTTGAATTTATAATTTAGTTGGAGAAGGAGATAATAAGCAACAAACATAATAAATAAGTACATTACATAGTATACTAGAAGGTATTATGTGCTATTAAAAAAAAGCAGGAGAGGGTAAGAAGGATTAAGTCACAGTATTAAATAGTCAAAGTAGGCCTCACTGAAGAGGTGATTTTAAGCGAAGACTAGAAGGTGGTAAAGGAGTTAGATAAAGAACAGCTAGTGAAAAGGTAGAAGTGGATATGGCATTTTCAAGGGAAAATAAGGAGGCCAGTGTAGCTGGAGGGTGAGGCAAGAGGGAGAAGGGTCAAAAATTAGATCAGAGATCAGCTGGGGATGGAGGCAATCAGTAAGATCATTATAAAGATATGAGTGAGACAGAAAAGCCATTGTAAGGTTTGGGCAGAGGAATGCCATGATCTGACTTACATTTAAAAAGGATGACTCTGGCTGCTTTTGTGAGAACAGACTGACTGCAAGGGAAAGAAGAGTAAAAGCAGAAAAACCAGTAAGGAAGCCTTTGATAGCAGTAATCCAAGCAGAAGATAATGCTGGTTTGGATCAATTTAGTAGCAGAGAAGGGGGTGAAAGATGGTCAGGTTTTGGATGTGTTTTGAAGGTAAACCAATAAGATATTCTGATGGATTGGGATGAGATGTGGCAGAGGAGGTGAGAAGAGGTGAGCAGAGAGGGGATGAAGGAGTCATGGCTGACTCCAGGGTTTCTGGCCGGAACAACTGAAAAGATGGACTGTCATCAGCTGAAATGGGAAAGACCGTTAGCATAAAAACTTCTGGAGGAAAGATCAGGAATTCAGTTTTCAACGTGATTAATTTGATATTTTTTACTAAATATCCAAGTGGAATTGTGGAACAGGAAGTTGGATATAAGAATCTGAAGACTAGGGAAGAAATCTGGGATTAAGATATAAATTTGGAGTCATCAGCATATAGATGGTTTTGAAAGCCATCAGCCAGGATGAGATCACAAAGAGTGAGTTCAGATGGTGAAAGGTATAGGTAGAGGAGGGAAGAGGACTGAGGATAGTCCTGGGGCACTCTAACATCAAGAAGTCAGAGAAGAGGAGAAATCAGCCAAAGAGATTGAGAAGGAGGGACTACTGAAGTAAGAGGAAAATCAAGAGAGGGAGATGTCTTGGAAGCCAAGTGAACAAGTTGTATCAAAGAGGAGGGAATGATGAACTATCTAACTACTGGATTCTGAGTTGGTGAACTTACATGTAATAAGGTGTCATGCAATATTTCTAATAGCAAAACAATGGAAGAGTTAAGTATGGAATGACTGGGGAACCGTTAGGTTCTAGTACGTTTACTTAGACTATTATGCAGCCATTAAAAAAGATCATTACGAATACTGTGTAGTAAGATGGAAAATACTTTAAAAAAACCACAAAGGCAATCATATTCTTTCAAGAAATATTAGAAAATATCGAGAACAAAAAAGGTGATTAAAAAGCAGCTGAAATCGTGCCACCAAGAAATAAATACTAACATTCTGACATGTAATTCCTCTAGGTTTTTCTTTCTCTCTATACCTATTTATTTTTTCTATCTAACTACTTAACTACCTATCAAATACACATACATACATATTTCTTTTTATATAATTGGGATCATATGAGACTACAGCTCTATAACATTTTATTCAACATTGTATTTCAGTATGTTGCTATGTCATTAAATTCTTTGAAAGCATCATTTTTATTACCTACCTAATTCATCTTACATCTATACCATAAAGCCATTTAAGCATTCCTCCTACTTGGACATTAAAAATTTTAAACATCAATATTTCCCTTATAAATAGCATATAGTATAGTACAGTAAACTGAAAAAATACAGTCAGAGATATATAAAATATCTTTACAGCTGTGAGTTCCTCAAGGATGGAAACTGTGCTTATTAATCTTATTTATCACTTATCATAATGAGCACAAAGGTGCTCAACAATAATTTGTTGAATGAATGAATAAAAACAGCAATAAAAATTTTAAAGTAGTGGCATAATTAATTATGAGTTATTTTTCTATTACAAAAGTCTTCTGTAGTCATTACATTTGTATTTAAAAAAACCCATATACTTTCAGTAAGGAAGAGGAAAAGAGAAAATAAAGAGGAATACCTTATATTCAACAGTGAATTATTTCTTATTTAAAAAAAATATTTTTAAACTTTCTCCCCATTTTCCAAGTAATGTAAAACCACCCACCAAAGCATTAGTTACATTTGATCTCATATTAATCTTATGCTTTCTTAATGCTGCATCATTTTCTAGTTTTTAATACTAATCTTTTAATAATTCACCCTTGTCTGAGACTTGGAAATAACAGCAATAGAGAACTCTTAAAGTACTAAATTCTTCACAGTTAAATCTATCTTATAATTTAAATGCTCTTAAAGCATAGAACTCCAAATTTTTACAGTTAATTGGAAAACTCCATATTGTATCCATATTTGACTTTGATGAAAATGCAAGATTTTTATAATATCACATAGAGAAAACTCCATTATAAATATATGGATCCAGAATAAAGATATGTAAGACATCTGAAAAATCCAATGACTAGTGATAAGATTTTAAAACATTTCAACCAACAAATGGAGATGGAGAATATGACAAGAAGCTGAGGGTAATTTTTACAATGTGGTTATAATTTATATTCTATCACCGGTTATTGAGTAAAAATGAGTAGTTTCTCATGGAAGTCTTTAATAATAAAAAGTTGTTTCCATTCCATAGATCACAATAATTAGCACAGCACTCACTGAAAGATGACTTACACTGTATTAATATTTAGTAAATTGTAATGTTAAAAGGAGTTAGTTCCTATTGAACATAAAGACATGGCCCTTGCCTTCATGGAGCACATATATACACACGCACGCACACACACACACCATTAGATTATTTTCTTCTAAGGAAATAATCTTATTTCTGTTGTAACTACTACTATAGTTATAAAGTTTATTGCTATTGTTATAAAGCCAATTCATACCAAAGTAGAAGGTAATAGGAAAGAACACGTGAATAAAAGCATGGCTTTTGAATGAATACTTTGGCTTAGAATTCTGGCAAATTCTGCTTTTAGCTTTTTTCCCCTTTAACTGATCTCCCACCTTGCTCCCCCCAATAATGTCAATTAGCTAACTATCTCAGTGCACGTTTATCATTGTAAAAATGAAATCTGTAAACAGAACTTAAAATGAGCATGGTGATTATCACACCATACCTGTACAAGTCTGCTTCTGGTTGCTGACATTCTATCACAGCTATAAGAGTGTCCAAATTGGCAACTGTCTGTAATACTGCTGTTTCTGGAACTGCCACATGGGTCTGAAAAACAGAAAAATTAAATCGCAGTTTCGAGATCTACATGGGACTTTAGATAACATTTATTTCAAACCTCTTTTACATATGAAATTACAGCATTCTGTAGCTGAGATCACTTAGCTAGATGGCAGAAGAGAAAGAAGAATGTAAAATAACAAGTAGTAAAAGGAGCTACTGTGATTACCTGTCTACAGAGGACATTTGCATACCAGGAAATTAAGTCTGTGTTAACAATCATTACTGCTCTAAGTTTATTATAAAAAATTTAATAGGGGGAAAAAAGTGTATCAAATAAAATCCTTGATTGTATTAATACTTAGAATATTGAGAAAAATGTAAATGTGTCCCGTTATCTAAAAAAGCACCAATGTATTAGAAGATTATTTTTTTCCTAAAAACACTTTTCGCTTTTCTTAAACTTGACTAAATTATGTGAGGCTCCCCTTGAAGTAAATGTATAATAACATTATTTCTTTAAAAAAAAAACTTAACTTTTAAAAAGTTTCAGTAATTTAAAACATTTCTCCTTTATCAGGTCAAACTTTATTACCTTAACCAAAGGAAAATATTACTATAATCCAAAGACATTTTGTTCACCAAGAGCGACACTCAAACATAAGCATGTACAAACCTTCAGGTTAGTTTCTCCATCCAAGCTAGCAGTTGTAACATGACAAGAACCATCAAGTCGATCTGAGGACAGAAGCACCAAATCTGCAGGGAAAATTTCATCTTTGGCTACTCGAACAATATCACCCACCTATGAAGAATTTTGGGGAAAAGTGGATATACAGATTTTAAAAGGCAAAAACTTAATTTTAGTGAGTTCTAAACAAGTGGTCTATCATAATATTTTCATGTAGGAAAGCAGACTTTTAACTAAAACAATCAGAGAATTTGTGATTTCAAAATATTATTGATTTCTATTATTTACTAAGTGCATACCCGAATGTTTTTTGATCTAGTTTTTACAAGGCCACCACTTCGAACAACATAAACAGGAGCTCCATTTACTTCATTATCTGAGTTATGTCTTAACCAATCTTCATATCCCTGTAAACATCAAAAGAGTAAAAAATGCCCCTCTTAGTATTAGAAGATACTTTTTATCAAATGAGAAAAAGAAACATAAAAATTTCCCTCAAAGATATCATTCATTAGAATTACGTTAGGCTACCTGACTCAGGTATTTGGCATTCATCACTACTAGAAACACTCTTTTCTCTTGGTTTTCATCACATACATGTTCCTGGTTTTCATACTATCTCTCTAATTACTCCTCCTCAGTTTCCTTACAGGAGGCTCCTTCTATGTCACCTTAATGGGCCTTTTTTTCACCGTTCACTTTCTCATTACCAGATTTCTTCTATCCCTGTGTCTTCAAAAAGTTCTGAAATTTAGGGACTCCCCTGGTGGTGCAGTGGTTAAGAATCTGCCTGCCAATGCAGGGGACACGGGTTCAAGCCCTGGTCTGGGAAGATCCCACATGCCGTGGAGCAACTAAGCCCGTGTGCCACAACTACTGAGCCTGCGCTCTAGAGCCTGTGAGCCACAACTACTGAGCCCATGAGCCACAACTGCTGAAGCCTGTGCACCTAGAGCCTGTGCTCTGCAACAAGAGAAGTCACCTCAATGAGAAACCCACACACTGCAACGAAGAGTAGCCCCCGCTCGCCGCAACTAGAGAAAGCCTGCGCACAGCAACGAAGACCCCATGCAGATAAAAATAAATAAATAAATAAATAAATTTATATAAAAAAGAGGAAACATAAGCATTTCACAAAGAATCCTTTGATTAAATGTTAAAGAGTGGTAATTTTTAAAAAATATTTATTTTTTATTTGCTTGCACTGAGTCTTAGTTGTGGCAGGAGGGCTCCTTAGTTGTGGCTTGTGGGCTCCTTAGTTGTGGCTCACTAGCTCCTTAGTTGCGGCATGCATGTGGGATCTAGTTCCCTGACCAGGGATCAAACCCAGGGCCCCTGCATTGGGAGCGTGGAGCTTTATCCACTGGAGAAGACTTATGCTATTTTAGAGAAAATTCAAGCACTCAGAGGTATAGCACAAGTATAGACAGTGGAATGATATCTAAGAAGTAACATTAAGTGATAAAAGTAAGGTACAGAATGTGTTGTAGTCTATGCTATCATTTGTGAAAAATATATGCTTACTAATGTGAACACTTTGTATAGATACCTGGACTAATGTACAAATAATGGCTCCCTCAGGGGAGGAGAACTAGGAGACTAAGGGATAGGAGCATAAGAGACTTTTACTATATGTTATTTAATTAATTAATTTATTTATTTGGTTTACAATAGCCAGGACATGGAAGCAACCTAAGTGTCCATTGACGGATGAATGGATAAAGAAGGTGTGGCACATACATACATACAATGGAATATTATTACTCAACCATAAAAAATGAAATTGAGTTATTGGTAGTGAGGTGGATGGACCGAGAGTCTGCCATACAGAGTGAAGTAAGTCAGGAAGAAAAAAACAAATACCGTATGCTACATACATATGGAATCTAAAAAAAGAAATTAAAAAAAAAGGTTCTGAAGAACCTAGGGGGAGGACAGGAATAAAGACGCAGACATAGAGAATGGACTTGAGGACACAGGGAGGGGGAAGGGTAAGCTGGGACGAAGTGAGAGAGTGGCATGGACATATATGCACTACCAAAAGTAAAAAGCAGCTCGGTGCTTTGTGACCACCTAGAGTAGAGGGGTGGGAGAGGGAGGGTGGGAGGGAGGGAGACACAAGAAGGATGAGATATGGGGATATATGTATATGTATAGCTGATTCACTTGGTTATAAAGCAGAAACTAACACACCATTGTAAAGCAATTATACTCCAATACAGATGTTAAAAAAAAAATTATTTGGCTGTGCTGGGTCTTAGTTGCGGCATGCGGGATCTTCGTTGCAGCATGCAGGATCTTTAGTTGTGGCATGTGGGATCTAGTCCCCTGACCAAGGACTGAACCCAGGCCCCCTGCATTGGGTGCACACAGTCTAAACTGCTGGACCACCAGGAAAGTCCCTATATGTTATTTTATACTGTTTCCATTTTTTAAAACTATGTGCATCTATTACCTAAAACTATTACATTATAAAATATAAAACAAATACTAAAGATTGCTCTGAAGGTCTATGCTTTTCAGGGAGAATCCTTTTGGGAAAGCATTTTTAAGACACAAATTATGCTGGCTCAATTTAAGATGTGGTATGTCAATTTTAGAGAAATTTAATTGAGAGTCAAAATACCGTTCCTGAAACTGTCAAAAAGCATACTTTTATAGTCAGATGACATCAATAAAGCAATAACTTTAAAATTATCTTTTTCTGAAGTTATCATTCCATTTACTTCCATTGACAAATTTAAACTAAAACAAAAATGTATTAGAAATCTTTGGCTCACAAGTACAAATGAAAAAGTATCATTACATACAATCTATGATACAAAATAGACTGCTTTTTCACAAGAGCAGTCATAAGTAGATTTACTTAGGGTTTTATTTTGATTTTTTAAAAATTTGTTTTGTTTTGTTTTTAGCAGTTACACAGCGATTTTATAGTGCAGGGATTTCAAGTGCTAACAAAATTTCTGATTTTTCAATTGAAAACTCTAGAGACCATTTCTTGATGTTTCCTACCCTGGAAAATGTTGTTTCCCTTGATTCTTCAGACTCTGTTGTTCTTACATTCCTAATTACCTTTCATATCTTGCTTACTATTATTCTTTTGTGTAGATACACTTGTCTCCCAAAATCCAAATATATATCAGCAACAACTCTAAACAGTTGGGGAGGCATACAGTTAAAATCTTTTTAAACAGAAGTTCACAAACTATAATTCATCCTACATGTCACTGCCAGATTAAGCTTTCCAAAACACTGTTTTAATTCACTATCCTGTTCAAACCCCTCCTGACAACTCTCAAAGAGTCTTCCAGCCTCTTTAATTTAGTACCAACATCCATTTCCAGTATGTTATCTTTTAGTACATTCCTACACAGGGTCAAACATTAGTCAGATATGTCATTCCCTAAAATAAGTCTTGCCTTTTCTTCCAGTTAAGCCTTTGCTCAAGTTGTTTGTTTCTATCTCACCTTCTTTACCAACTATCATTTTATCCATATTCCAAAGTCTCATCTCTAATAATATTTCTTCCATGAAGCCTTCCTTGATTATCCAGATGAAGTGTTCCACCCTTTCTCTGAATACCTACAGCTCACTGGCTCTTTCTATGATCTTATTAAACTATAATTATTTTTGTATTTGGTCTTACCTTCTCTACTTCATACGTTTTAAGCTCATACAGGACAAAGATTATGATATTTACCAGAGCACTATATCTTGCATTACACAACTAAAGAGAAAACAATTTGCAAATATAGTTGGAAGAAGTTAAAAAAAAAAAAATCTAACAACTTCATTCATATAAAAGTATAAACCAGGGCAAGAAATATTACAACATTTAACATTGCCTTAAAAATATTCAAGAGATTCATTCATTCATTTATTCACCTATCAAACAAATATTTATTGAAGGCCAAATATGTGCACAGCCTTGTTCTGGTCACTGGTAATAAACTAGTAATATAAAACAAAGTCTCTGCCCTCATAGAACGAAACATTCAAATGAAGACGACAGACAAACTAATAAACAAGCATTTATTCAATAGAACCATAGGTAGGCAAAAATGATATGAAGCAAAAAGACCAGAGTAGGAAAGGAGAGAGTGACACAGAGGTCAGGAAAAACCTAAGATATCCAAGTGGAAACAGTTGTATTTCCAAGCACAAAGAGTTGTATATGTGTGTCTGGAGTTCAGAGCATAGTTTCAGGATACATGTAAATTTGAGACCCATCAACATATAAATGGTACCTTAAGCCACTAGATTGGAAGAAATCACCAAAAAGGAAACTATATATAGAAAAGAGGTCCAAGGGACAAATGTGTGTTACTTTGATAAAATAAATGACATCTACAAAGCCAAGTAAATATGTAATTGCATTAAGTGATGTGGATGCTTACTGACTTACACGAATTCTCATCTCCAACAGAACACTGAATATAGGGAAATCAAACTTAGAACGGTAGCATGGTATTCTGACACACTAAATAATGCAACTGTTAATCTACAGACTCCCCTTACCCATATCATGTAAGTAATAAATATACTACATCTCAGAATTATAAAATGTTTTCCAATTTTGTTTCCATGTCAATTTCCACCTTATCCCTAAATCTTATATAATGAATATTTATCATACTGACACAAGAAAATTCAAATTAACTCCCTTTCAGGAGGAAGGGTTCAGTTCTGTATAACTGAGCCTCTGGCCCAATATCTTCTCAAAGATATTTTGAGAAGTGGTAGTATATAAACATGACATTTCTAGGAATTTTTAAACTTCTTGTCATGTTTATCCAATAATACTGTTCTTCTATACCTACATTTTTTTTTTTTTTTTTTTTTAGCGGTACGCGGGCCTCTCACTGTTGTGGCCTCTCCCGTTGCGGAGCACAGGCTCCGGACGCTCAGGCTCAGCGGCCATGGCTCACGGGCCCAGCCGCTCCGTGGCACGTGGGATCTTCCTGGACCGGGGCACGAACCTGCGTTCCCTGCATCGGCAGGCAGACTCCCAACCACTGCGCCGCCAGGGAAGCACAATATACCTACATTTTAATATCAATTCAAGATCTGGTGGAAGCTATTTCCCCTAGAATACTATTTTACATAAAAATCGACCTCACCAGAGGAAGTTGTAAAAAGTAGGAAAGCACTGTATAATTCTTATTCAGAAATGTTCGTGCCAGAAGTACATGTTCCGCTCCTTATAAACATATCCCCTTTGAACTGTATTTCCTTTAAATACGACCAAACTCTGCAAAGATGATTATAATAATTAATCTGTTTCATATATGAATTGGTTTGTACATATAAAATGCTTGTTTTTGGATGCTCCCTAGGTGTATCAAAGGAACGACATATTTTAACAATTGTAATCATCCCATCAGTCACCAGGTACCTGATAACGATGGCTTAATTCAGTTTAATTTTACCATAGGCAGAATCAAATAAATTTCTTCTTATGAAAATTATTTTCACAACAATAAATCTTACTTTGGAGTGGAAATATTAGGCAACTTCTGAATGACTTGGGAGAAAAATAACAATACAAAGTATTTCATACCTGCTTTATGGCAGTTACTGTTATCACAAAGAATAACGGGAGTCCACTGGTAATTGGACTGGTAGGTGTATCAATCATAAGCTGGATTAAAAAACAGAGAAGGCAGAGTATATTTTATATTGTACACATCACACTATTAACATCTAGAATCTCATAATTATTGGGAAATCTGAAAACATTATACAAAACATGTATCATGGTCCAGATGAAAAAATAACATGAGAGAGAGACTACGCAGTGAGTGTAGTTTAGTTCACAGTTTCACAAGTTCACTTTGATGGCTTTTATATGGGGTTAGTAGAATACCTAAATCTATTGCATACCCACAAATACTGCTAGGGTGGACTCAGTCCCTGCTTTCTTAACACAGAGTACTTAAGGTCTTCCTTGGTATTTGCCTTGGAGGGGAGCTATAGCTGCTCAGAATCTCAGTTCACATTTCTTTGCCCATCCTGAGAAACGCTGTAAAGTCTGTCAGTTTTTACCCTGGGATCCAGCATAAACTCACCACTTAGGGAGAGAGAACAAGAAATGGGACTAGGGAAAGGGTTTCTTTCTACAAGTGATTTTGTTACACCTAGCGGAGCCAGAAGGGTACAACTTGCAAAATGCTGCTGCAATTATCTAAATCACACAACTGAGGTTTCAATAAACTGCTGGAAAAGAAATATTTGTAGTAATTATATTTGGTTATTTAGAACATGGGTCTAACGATTTATTAATATTCCTTTACTCTGGGTAGGCCAATTAAATTTGTTCTACTCCACACACAAGCTGAATTCCTTATCTTAGCTAGTAATTTCACAAATGCATGTTACATGGACATAGTAAGTATAAATTTCTCATTTTTCCAACTAAACCAAGATGAAGTTCTATTGATGAAAAAAAATCAGAAGTTCCTTTTCTGTTCATGAAGCAAAGCAATTAAAAAAAAAGTTTCCTCAAGCTTTACAGTGACTACTTCACAAGTTTTTTTCTTTTGAAAGCCCAGGTTCTATGGAGAGAAAAGTTCAGAGTTTATACAAAAATTCAATGCCACACTGGAAGACACTGCCAAGGTATTATCAGAAAAGAATAACCTCTTTAAAAGAAAATGACACTTATTTTAAATCCTGATTTATACTCAAGTTTCATAAGCTGTTCTCTTGATATTTTGACATTAGGAAAAAAAGCACAATGTGAAAATCAAGAAACTGTCAAACAGCTTATAATGAACATAGATTTAGCTTAAGAAAATAGTCTCCTGCAGAAAAATCAATAGTCACGGGGATTCTTAAAAATTACAATTAAAAACATTTTTAAATAAAAGTAAAATTTAAATTAAAAAAAAGAAAAGCCAAAGAAAGATTTACTTTGTACAAAGATGGTTCCATAGGCAGAAATGTGCCAAAAACATGTGCTGTATATTAAAAGCCAAAATATTTATGTCCGAGGCAGAACATCTGAAAGGATGATGTTATTTTCTTGGCTTTGATTATGATTATCAGCACCATAGCAATCAGTGATAAAACAAAATACAATTAATCTTAAAATTCACTGGCTATTTTTCAGACATCTTGATGCTGTTTAAATCATTGTATTCAGTGAATACAATGGGGAAGCTCTGCAAAAAAAAAAAAATGGTCCCACAGTCAAATGATTTAGAATGCAATATAACTTTTCCCTGAAGATATATTTTTAGAACCCATGTCTATAAACTTAACAATTTATGAAGTGATAAAGCTTACCTGAACCAAAAATATAATAAGAAAATAAAAGTTTGCCACTCTTCTGAATTGTTCAAATAAATTTTTTGGAACAAAATTCCACACAGTATACTAAAAAAAAAAAAAGGAAAAAAAAAAGAAAAAAAAAGATCAATAAGTTAATATTTTAAAATAATATATACTATATACATATAATAACAAGAAAAGTAGTATCAGATTTACTAAGCCCTTAGACAAATTCATGTAACTCTCAATGCTACAAAAACTATCTGGTTTTTAGAGTTTCAGGGCTTTTATTCTATTTTTTTTCTGTCTTTTACTATTTATTGGCAATTTTAGTATAATTTTTAAAAATGAGATAAACTGGAACCCATCAATTTTGCTATTAAATTCTTAGTTTTTTAGAAGTTGGAGATGGCAGATCTAAAATAATATTTTAATAACTGATTTTGGTTTTTGGTTACACAAGACTGACCCTAATGCTGAAGATGAATTAAGAGTTGATAGAAATGCTAACATTGGATTCAATTTATTTTAAATTTTATTAAATTTGTATTATATTTTATTTATTTTATATTTTATTTATTCAGAAACAGAGGAAATGGTATAATTATTCAGTTATTCCATTAAGCATGGGATATGGAAAAATAAACTAGAATGTGAAAAAGATTAAAAATTACTTTAGGTAAGTGATCACTGGTATAAGCATCAAGAAAATCTCATAAAGGATATGAAAATCTGTCACAATGTCAATTTTTAAAGACAGCAGAGTATAATGGTTACGAACATAGATGGTAAAGGGTTAAACTGCTGTGGCCTAAATCCTAATCCAAGGTCATTTAGTGACCTTGGACCTAATCTCTTTGTACTTCACTTTGTGCCTCTATAAAATGAGGACAATAATAACAATCATACTGTATAGGGTTGTTATAAAAATTAAACGAGCTAATATATTTATGAAGCACTTACAACAGACCCTGGCTCATATTAACTGCTGTGTGTCTGTTGTTGTATTATTCATCAGTTTATAAGCCTATAATGCTATATTATGGGGGCAGGGTAATATCGTACAAATTTTACTTGTGCCACTCACTATTCACAACACAACTTTATGCATGAAACAGGGAAACACTTCACAGCACTGTTACTTTACCCTATGTCCATTCTCTCAGTAGAATCTAAGATCCCTAGAGACACTGTTTTATTTACTGCTCTATCGCAGTTACACTAGAGCACACAGCTAGAGATCAAAACTTTAGCAGAATAGATAAATAAATAAATATGGTTGGAAAAAGAATTTTTTTTCCAGATAACTCTCCTGATGTCAGGCAATAACCATTGGTCAATTTAACTACTGACCAATAACCATTGGTCAATTCAACTATTGACCAATTACCATTGGTCAATTCAACTATTGACCAATAACCATTGGTCAATTCAACCACTGACCAATTCAAGATTTTCTCTGGTGCAATGAAAGACGGTTCTAATTTCTGAATTTTGGTACGTCAGAAATTTGCTTCTTAATCAGTTTTTTCCTTTTCTTTTTTTTTTTTTTTTTTTTTTTGGGCTGTGCTGTGTGTCTTGCAGGATCTTAGTTCCCTGACTAGGATTGAACCTGCGCCCTCGGCAGTAAGAGAGGAATCCTAACCACTGGACCGCCAGGGAATTCCCTTAATCAGTTTTTTAAGACCTCAAACATCCTTTCACATATGAACAATTTTATAAATACGGTTAGGTTCCCAGAAGAGCCCACAAAAGCCTATTTGACCAAAGGGTATATAAAGAATAGTACAATGCCTAACACCTTCCTTTCTTAGGTGAAATTATATTTTCAGTTCTAATCTGGGATACCTGAAACATATTTACCTGTGGTAGTGGTAGCACCAGTGGCTCTAGAATCTGGGATTGGGAACTATGTTCAAGGCTCTAGAGAGAAGAGAGGTAGAGACTTCCTGGAACCAGAAGAAGTCAGTGCTCAATGTGTGCATATGAGGTGGTAATTCTGGGTCAAACCATTGCCAGTTGATCTTCACTGGGGTAGAAAGGCAGTTGTCCCTACAGGGGTCATAGTATTTCCATGCAACTTCCTCAGCACCAGATCAAATGTATAAAACTTTATAGGAATTAACTTGACGTTCTATGTTTACATCAATCTATATAATAGTGACAATATATTTTATCTTTCAGAATCTTGAAAAGAGCAACTATATAAGTTGGTAATAAAGTAAATTAATTGGTTTCAGGATGCTCTCTTTGGCTAGCTCAGTAATACAATGGAAAAAGTGAGAATAAATAAAAACTTCTTAAGAAAGCTAGCTTACAAATGTTAGGAATTATTGTTTTCGGGTTTTCTGAAATACAAACATTAATAGATTGAATGAGTCTAAATTCTGCATTTGTCCTGTCACACATAGAGGAGGCACTCTAGAAGAATAATATTAAGACACATGAAAAAACTTCTAAGAAAAATAATTCATTATGCTTTAAAATTGTTTTAATTATTACGTAATAAGTCAAGAAAAATGAACTAGAAGTATACCTTCTCTATAGCTATGTATACAACTTTATCATTGACTTTTTTTCCTCCTAAGGTCTGACATTAGTAAGAAAACAAAAACATGGTTATAAAATTAAACCTTCTGCAAGGAAATTTTTTTTTTTAACGTCTTTACTGGAGTATAATTGCTTTACAATAGTGTGTTAGTTTCTGCTGTATAACAAAGTGAATCAGCTATACATATACATGTATCCCCATATCCCCTCCCTCTTGTGTCTCCCTCCCAGCCTCCCTATCCCACCCCTCTAGATGGACACAAAGCATAGAGCTGATCTCCATGTGCTATGCGGCTCCTTCCCATTAGTTATCTATTTTACATTTGGTAGAGTATATATGTCCATGCCACTCTCTCACTTCGTCCCAGCTTACCCTTCCCCCTCCCCGTGTCCACAAGTCCATTCTCTACGTCTGCGTCTTTATTCCTGTCCTGTCCCTAGGTTCTTCAGAACCACTTTTTTTTTTTTAGATTCCGTATATATGTGTTAGCATACGGTATTTGTTTTTCTCTTTCTGACTTACTTCACTCTGTATGACAGACTCTAGGTCCATCCACCTCACTACAAATAACTCAATTTCGTTTCTTTTTATGGCTGAGTAATATTCCACTGTATATATGTGCCACATCTTCTTTACCCATTCATCTGTCAGTGGACACTTAGGTTGCTTCCATGTCCTGGCTATTGTAAACAGAGCTGCAATGAACACTGTGGTACAAGACTCTTTTTGAATTATGGTTTTCTCAGGGTATATTGCAAGGAAATTTAAATTTAAGATAAGGAAGTTACTATAGCAAATTAAAGACATATCATGCATCTACAATGTGTAAGACACACTATAAGAGGAACAAAGAGAAGAAGTTTAATTTAAATAGAGGAGATTAAGAACAATATATCAATAGCTATATTCAAAGATAAAGTAAAAGAAGGAATAGACAAAGAATTCAATGGGAAGGCAATTCAAGAATTAGAAAGAAAAATTTAATGAAGGAGGTCACATTTGACACAGGCGTTAAGAGAGGAACACTCAGCAGGCTGAAAATAGGGGGCAAACATTTCAGGAAGGAAAGACAGAATGAACAAAGGCAGCGAGGAGGGAAGTTGATCGTGGCTTTGTGGTATAGAAGATATACAGTCTGAAAGGAGTTTAGGGAAATAATAGGGGAGTAGAAAGGTAGTAAAAAGGGAACAGTGAGAAGCCAGCCTCATTGTGGTCAGGAAAAAAAAAGACACTGTCTATATAAATATCTACATTCTTGAAATTGTGGTCAAAAACATGAAATATACATTCTCTGCAAAAACATATAATCTACTTTTAAAAAACTGCAGTTATCAATACAAAATCATAGCAAAGGCACAGTGGTAGGGAAGTTCAACATGAATTCATGGAATAGCAGGTAATCTGGTTTGGAAGTTTAAAAAAGTGGTAGTGGAATAATAAGGAAGTAATAAGGGAATAATGAGAAAGTCTCCAAGTGTGTGAAAAAAGGGCAATGTTTATTTAAATATCTACATTTTTGAAACTGTGGTCAAAAACATTAAACTTCATACTGCTGCATATGAAAAGTCATAAAGATAGTTAATCTCAGAAGTTCTCCAGGACACTCAGCTTCCAGTATTGGCAGACTGTGAACTCCTAGCAGATAAGAATTATGAAAACTAGATTAAAACAAACTATTAAAATTCTGGAACATGTCCAAAATATAGACAGAAACTGGAAGAGAGTTTAATTTCAAAAAAATTACAAATGGAAGGAATATGAATGATAAACTATGGCTTCTTAGTCTGGAGATAATATCCAACTCTCACAGCTATAGCAGCCAAACAGTGGGGGAAAACTACCCCCTTATCAACAAAATATCACAGAGATCTAGAGTTCAGGGCTAGAAAAGTGGCTGGAAATTGATGGGAAAATACTGATCGCGAAACCATGCAAGGAAAATTACCCAAATTCAGGACATAAACTATCCAAACCTAGGCTGACAGTTAAACTATGCACTAAAAAGGAAATGAACTAATGAAACTGATACTTGCAACAAGGATGAATCTCAAGAGTACTGTGTTAAGTGAAAAGAAGTCAGACACAAAAGACTCCTACTGTATGATTGTATTTATATGATATTCTGGAAAAGACAAAACTATAGTTAAAGAAGGCAGATCAGCTGCTAGTGCTAAAGGTGAGGAGGAGGGGGACTGGTTACTAACTTTCTGGAGTGACAAATATATTCTGTATCTTGATGACAGCGGTCACATGTTACACATTTGTCAAAACTTATCAAATTATACACTTAAAATTAGTGAATTTTATTGTATATAAATTATACCCAGTGTTTTAAAAATTTTTTTCAAGAAGGACTTTTATTTCTTGCATCACTTACTAAGAACTGTATCATTAATCTAAAGCTCCTCTATTACCCTAGATTCTGATATTTCCCCTTCCTGCCCTCTGCTTTAGAACCACTGTCCAAAATGAGATGTCAGTAATGCGTGTGTTGCATTTGTAAATAATGTAAAGCCTGGAAAAAAGGAACAGGGAAAAGGAACCATTGGCCTAAAACAACATCTTCAAGAAAAATGAGATCAGGATTAGAGAGAAAATATCAGTCGCCCTGGAAGAGCGGGAAGGAGCAATACAAAGATGCTTCTTAAGGTGGTCTATTAAGCAATAGCTATGCTCAGAGAGAACCTTACCCTCAGTTTCTGACTCACATCCTCTATAACTGCACTGTCCAATAAGGTGCCACTAGTCACATGTGGCTACTGACAATTAAAAAAAATTAAAAGTAAATTAAAAGTTAAGTTCCTCAGTTACATTACCACATTTCAAGGCCTGAACAGCCCTATGTGGCTAATGGCTATCATATTAGACAGCATGGAAAACATTTCCATCATGAGAGAAGAGTCTATCAGATAGTCTATTTTGAAATTGAAGATTATAGAATAATGCTAAGACATCTTAAAAATGCCATAGGAAAAAATGAACCAAGGAAAAATATGTAAAAGTGAAGTGGTTCCTTGGTACTATAAAATGTTTATAGAAGAATGATAAAACTGGAGGAAGTCAGGCTTTAAAGTCACACAGAACTGAGTTCAAACTCCGATCTCATCCCTGGGTAAATTACTTCCCTGCACTTCAATTGAAAAAACTGATATAAAATGAGTATAACAACACTTTGTTAAAGCTATCTTAAAGTTGTTTTAAGAATTAAATAATATGAGAAGTACCTAATACAGTGTCTGGCACATGGTATAAATATTAGCGCCTTAGTTTAATTGCAACTAAGGGTAATTTTGGGCATACTGGCCACCTGATATTAGCAACCAGAAACTTTTTATTTTACAGTTCACAATTTTTGTTAAGATAAATCTACCAACCACCATTTCCTTGAATTTTTAAGGCTATAAATACAAACAAATCACCTTTTAAAACAAAATAGTACATAACCCACAGTTTTAGTAATAAAAGTGTTAGCTCTTACCTTAGATGAAATGATCCGGTTATCTATAAATTTCTGAGGTGTGTAAAGGCCATACTGAGGAAACCTGTTGGCTATGTAAATAGTTCTTGTGTCACTTTGATGTGGTGGGTCAAAACCCTAAGGCCAAGCAAAAGAAAAATAATGGACAACAAGGTTAGTTGTTATGATTCTTTACTGCTGGTTCTATTTAACTGACCATATTACACATATTATTACTGGCCTTGAACTGCATATAGGCTCAATCTATTTAATTATCAGAAGAGTTAAGCCATATATTTTTTTCTTTCAAAGTAAACAGGTACATTTTCTTCAGATATAAACTAACTAGGTAATAACCTCTGGTAATGAAAAATAGTCCATACTCTGTCAGAAATGCTACCACAAGAAGACCTACAGAAGCACTTGAAGACAAGGCTTCTTTCCTTCCCTTTCATTCCTGGGGTTCCTTGCTTTTCTCTTAGGATAGATTCCTAGCCAGTGATATGGAAGTCCTGTGTAGCTAAGGCCTAGTCAGCACCTACCACATGTAAGGACAAAGGCTTACATTTTATTTTACACGCAGATCAACTCGGTTTCAAAGGGCTTTGTTCCCAGAGGACATAAAATGTATTGGATAGCCCAGATTCATTCCATACAAGCATTTCTTTGCGCTAGTTACATTATCAATCTACTCCCTGAAATATGGATATATGCTATAATTCTGGCCTCAAATTTAGAAGACCCTCAATTAAGGTACATTTAGGAATGATCTCTAGTGGAAAAGTTTGCCCTGGTGACAAGAATACTGATACTTTATTCCTACAGCATTGTACTCTTTTCCAGAGTGGCAAGTGAATCTTTAAGACTCCTTTGATAGATACCGGCATCCCTGTAAAATTTCCACTAAGCAGAGACACACACAAATAGTGGAAATTCCCATATTACCTAGAGGGATGTTTTGTTTAGCACATCAGAATATTAGAAGTGCTATATATGGGTTTCAACTGCTGTTATTCATGGTTTTAAACAATTTATTTTGTGATCTTAGAAACAGCTAGTACAGAACTGTGCAAATTAAATATATTTGTATACTCCATTAAAAATGAAGTTTTATTTTATTTGTTTATGCTACTTAAAGTGATGACCACATTTTGTTGATGTGCCATTATGTATCCGATTTCAAAATCAGTTTAAGGATAAAATGTGGCACACATGTTTATTTTCCTCATAAATTTTCTCTTAAACATTTCACAACTGTGCCCTGTCATAACTCATGGGAGAAAGAGGGCAGGTTCCAAAATCAGAGTCAAAACTCACTGCTCTATCTGGAATATCATAATCATTTAAAAGATATATACCATTTATTCAATCAATAACTATTTACTGAGTTTAAGCACTATGTTAAGCCATGAAGGATTATGTGATTTGTTACATACTCGAGCATATCATAACATGCTCCAACTCAATAAATAAATGAATGAACAAACAGTTTGAATGCTACTGCTGTAGTCTATGGATGTGTTTTTCAAAGATGGTCCACAGAAGTTTGCCTGTAACATTCATAAGATAACAAAAGGAACACACAGGTAACGGAAGCATTAGACTCCATGAAGCATATTTATTCTGTATCCACTCTGTAACCATGTTAACATAACACTAAGTCATACCCCATGCATATAAACTTCTGAGACAAAGAAAAATAAAGTAAACTTGAGGGTTTGAAAGAGTATACAAATCTTTAAGAAGGTGTCAAGACAACTGAGACTGAGAACCACTGATATAAAATTTTATTTTATTTTTTGCTAAATCCCACCAAGATTATTACTATGTACATCTAAAGTTAAGAAACAAAAAACAGGGACTTCCCTGGTAGTCCAGAGGCAAAGAATCCGCCTTACAATCCAGGGGACATGGGTTCACTCCCTGGTCAGGGAACTAACATCCCTCATGTTGCAGGGCAACTAAGCCCATGTGCCACAACTACTGAGCTTGCGTGCCTCAACTAGAGAGCCTGTGTGCCGCAAACTACAGAGCCCACGCGCGCTGGAACCCGCATGCCACAACTACAGAGCCCACATACCTTGGAGCCTGTGCGCCACAACCAGAGAAGAAAAAACCCTGCATGGCACAACTAAAGAGAAGCCCGCGCTGCAACGAAGAGCCTGTGCGCCACAATGAAAGATCCAACGCAGCCAAAAATAAATAAAATAATAAATCTCTAAAACAGAAAGAAACAAAACAATTGCCCTCCCCCAAAATATACTGATGTTTACATTATAACCTCTCATTCATTACTAGAATTAATATACTATATACATAAATGCGTGCACTTTACAGGAAGCAAATGCTCATCATTCTCCATCCCTCTCTCCTGGATGAACCAGTGACCACATACTAAAGTTTTGGAACTCCTGAGATTTCTACAATTATTTCAAGGAGATATTTTGAGATGTTCCAAGAATAAAATCAGTTTTAAGTTAAACTGAATTTTAAATTCAGCATCGCCATATTCCAAGAAATCATAATTTAAAATAAGATAATACCAAAAGGAGAATAATGATAGTATGTTTTTCCTTATTCCCGAAGATGCTATAACATCCACTTAAGCATTTTGAGTTGTTTTTCCAGTGATTAATTAAAATGACCTTATCCAATCATGTTATAATCAATGGCATGTATATACATGTGGGTGTGTGTATTTTTTTACACACACAAAATAGTTAAATTTTATATTTGTGACTGCAGTATAAGTACAGCTAAGTGTCTCTCATGGAAATTAAAGCTATAACTTCAGTTCATTAGCATCAACTTCTTTGCCACAAATTCAAGTAGCCATGAACTAAAAAGAACAAAACTGTCCAAAAATGAGAAAAGTGACTTAGGGCAGGTCTGTGAATCTCTGAAATTGTACGCAAATTTGCATATCTGTGCATTAAAAATTTTTTTTTTAAATTTTGGCCATGCCACACGGCTTGTGGGATCTCAGTTCCCTGACCAGGGACCGGACCTGGGTCACAGCAGTGAAAGCGCCAAATCCTAACCACTAGACCACCAGGGAACTCCCATACATGCATTTTGCTGATGACAGAATAGTTTTCCTCAGATTTTGATGACATAAAGAAAGTTAGAACCACTTATCTAAGGTCTTGCTTTTATAATCAGTTCCCCACCTCAATATTCCATATTTTAAAAATGACACAGAGAATTGTTGCTTCAATAACACCTCTACTTTGTTTAACAGGAATCAAAACAAACAGAGTTTATCAAAATTAATTGTATAACTATACCATAAATGTGAAGTTCAAGTATAGTTTCATGCTATTTCTAACAAGCATTATCAGCAATTCTATGCTACTGTACAATCCGAACTCCCTAATCACTAGGCTACGGCTACACATCAGGGTTCAGAAACCTCTGGTATGTATTACACTTTCAGCCCAGACTACCCATGCACACCCTGAACCCCTGGATAGCTTGCTCCTTTCTTCTATGGTTTCATCTTGTCCTGGATAAAGGAACTGAGATACATTAATGCTATTCTAGCCACCCTGGTTTTATTTTTATTTTTTAACATTTATTTATTTGGCTGTACCAGGTCTTAGCTGCAGCACGCAAGGATCTTTAGTTGCGGCATGAGAACTCTTAGCTGCGGCATGTGGGATCTAGTTATCTGACTGAGATTAAACCTGGGCCCCCTGCATTGGGAGCACAGAGTCTTAGCCACTGGACCACCAGGGAAGTCCCCACCCTGATTTTATTTTAATGCCTGCTAAAAAGTACAGCTGACCCTTGAACAACTCCAGGGTTAGAGAAGTCGACCCTCCACACAGTCAAAAATCTGAGTATAACTTCAGAGTTGGCCCTCTGCATCCTCAGATTCAGCCCTATAGTACTGTTGTATTTACTACTGAGAAATCCACATATAGGGGGACCTGCACAGTTCAACCCAATGTTGTTCAAGGGTCAACTGTATAGGCTTTTGGAAGCACACAAATTTAAACTATTTAAAAATAACAACTCTCATTAACTCTAAAAAAGTATGAAATTAAAAACCTCTTTTCTGTCTGGATTTATGAGCATATGTAAAAACCACAGGTACTTTTAAAAAAAGTGGATCAGGGCTTCCCTGGTGGCGCAGTGGTTGGGAGTCTGCCGGCCAATGCGGGGGACACGGGTTCTGCCCTGGTCTGGGAGGATCTCACATGCCGCGGAGCAACTAGGCCCATGCAGGACAGCTGCTGGGCGTGTGCTCTGGAGCCCACGAGCCACAACTACTGAAGCCCGCGTGCCTGGAGCCCATGCCCCGCAGCAAGAGAAGTCACCGCAATGAGAGGACTGTGCGCCATGGTGGGGAATTGGCCCCCCGCTCACTGCAACTAGAGAAAGCCCAAGCGCAGCAACGAAGACCCAATGCAGCCAAAAATAAATAAATAAAATAAATTAAAAAAAAAAAGTGGATGAGCATTTAAGGTGGAAAAAAAATCCCATGATGGCATTCAAGGAAAGAACTGAAAACACATGGGACTGATTTGAAAAAGACTCCTTTTGTAACAGTAAACTGATGAAACCTAGGGAAGCCAAACCAGAAAACAGCTTATAATTTTTAGATGTTGGTTTCTGGCACAAAGCAGTACTTAGAAATAACTCATAACATTTTATATTTTCATACCAAATATACCAGCCTCTGTACTATTCTTAAAATCCCAAAGATTTTATGAAAAATACGAGCATTACAAATAAGAGCTAAGAAGAAACTAAAACTACAGTCCTTTAATTAAATATTGTCACACTTCTTTAACATAAGAAAACATTTTTAGAGTTCAGTGATTAAATTTGTACATTTAATCATTCCTATGTGTGATCTACTTCCTCCATAATAGAAAGAAAAAAGCTACAAAACAAACCAAAAACCATGAAAAACAACATAAAAAGAAGCATTCAAAACTGCAATGGCACTGTCATTAAAATAAATGAACAGAAGCTTTATTTCAGTCACACACTTTCTATGACACAAAGTGATTTTTGTTGGCTACGTGTTCCAATGTACACAGTACTTCTGGGGAAGAATGATTTAACGTATTTTACCAAATCTACAAACTTAATTGTGAATTACTGTTTCCTGGATATAGACTTTGAAT